TTCCTTATAATACTAGGAATGTCTTCACAAGAGCCACCCTGTAAAAAAACAAAGGTCCAGTTTCAATTCTGTTTTAAAAACAGTTTTCTAATTTTCAGAATAAAAAAAAATGTTTGATAATGTTAGTTTTGTAAAAATCATTTTAAAAGTTATAACTATTCTTAAGTTTTTAAAATCAAATTTAGAAAACATATTTCAGTAATTTCAATTTTATTGATTTTTAACTTTCATAACAAAAAAAACATACATAAAATATTCGTTTCATTAACTATTCTATAAAAGACCAAAAAAGTATAACATAATTAAACATGAGTTTTCTTACCTCCCTTGTAAGAAGTTTCACTTTCCAACCTGGTGCTCCAAATTATGTCTCTCTTTTGTAGGAATTGGGAAGTGAAGTTTACTAACACATATAGAGAAGGCAATAATGTGACTTGATTGGTTTTGCTATCCAAGCTCATCTCTATTGGGACACTGTAATTTTCACTTTTCAGTGAACCTCTTCATACATACTTGCAAGGTTGAAGAATGATTTTAGTGGGTGTTTGGTATGAGTATGTTGTTTGAAATGATGAGAAAGCGGGGTGAAGAATATTTTTTGACCATGTTAGGTACCAGGAAATTTAAAAAAAATTCTAGCAAAATTATTTTCCCATTATTCCCACTTGTAACTACACACTTCAAAAAAAAAATAAAAAAAATACACCCCACGTCCCCACCAATGGTAATGTTTTTCCCCATGAACTCATAATCTCATTTTAACTTTTTTAGACAAAAATGCTCTGTTGTTTTATATGAACTCAGAATCTTATTTCAAAATAATGGGTACTTTGATAATTTTAATTCAGATTCTCTTCAATATTTTATGATCAACCAAACATAGCATCAGTAAAATAACTCAACTTTTCCGAAAGAATTTTGGCCTATCAAACACTTTTTCGTAACCATTTCCCCAAAAAGAGAGAGTACTGATACAAAATATTTCTCTTATACTAAACACCCACTTAAGGGCATTACTTGTCTTAAAAATATAGCTACTAGCTAGTTGTTATGTTGTTTCTAATTTCCTGCATCTCCAAAAAATAAAATAAAATTATAGGCTATATTATTTATTAAAGAAAAAATATTTCTTCTTTACAATATTAAAATGACATTGTTTCGGAATTTAGAAAAATAAAAAAATATTCTTTGATATTTTTTTCTTGTAACATGAATTTATATTTTGTTTATATTTTTTTCAAATTCTAAAATCACATCATTTGAGGTTTCTAAAGATGATTTATTTCATGTTGCATGAAAAACACTAAACTCTTGTTTTCTTTTCAGAAATTTTAATTTTAATTTTTTTAATTTTATTATATGTACATTTTTAAAATGACTATAAGTAACTTGTGTTCTCAGCCTCGGGTCCAAATGTAATAATGGTACAATTATTTGTAAATTGATGTTTTGAGGGAACTTAAAAGAATTCTTTTGAAGCTGTAAAAATATATAACATAATGAAATAATAAATTCTTTTTCAAGCAAGAGTCACAGCTAGGTCTAGCTTTACCCAAGCTGGTGCAACTAGTCACAAATAACATTTGACCATTAAACACTTAACTATTTTATTATATTTTTTTGTATGGAAAATTTAAATTTCAAACTAAAAGAATATAAATCTAAGAATGTTAGATATTTAATTTAAGAGTTAAGAAATTGAAAAATCTTCACACATATTAAGGTTCTATAATTGTAAAAAAAAATTAAATTTCATTCTTATTCTTAAATAATATTTATTATAACATTTGTGAATTATCAATTATGCATCTAAAACACTATTTTTTTTTCTTCTTTAAAATTAGCCATTATTAGCTGCCACCAAAGTGACTTCCTATTATAGATATATTTTTGGGAAAAATATTTCTGCAGGCACATAAGTTATCTGCATTTTTTTCCAAAACGACGTCGTTTTGATATTGAAATCTTAAAAAAATATAAATAGAAAGACTATTATAACCCTGAAATAAATTAAAATTACAAAAATACCATGATTTCCACCCCAAAACGACGTCGTATTAGGCTTACTGCAGATAACTTATCTACAGTAACTGCAGAAAAAACAAATCCTATATTTTTTGGTGTTAAATTGATATGTTTTCTGATGTTCCTCTCTTTGAGGGGTAGGGTCTTCCTCTAACTTCAAAAGTTAGCCAAAATATTCCTTATTCATTAACAATACGATCAGAATCTTTATACGCCCAAACTCCTACCAGTGACAAAAAATGAAAAAAAGAAGAAGCATACAAGCAACACTCACAAAATCTACTAACCGAATTTAATAACCAAAAGCATAACCTCCTAACATAAATGCAAACCACCTACTCACAGGTCATGCCTATTGCTCATATAAGAAAATCAGTCATCCACTTAGGCTGGTATTTTGCTTCTTTTGGACCACCTAGACTTTCGGCTAATGTGATGACCCATTTGCTGTTGCTCCAGCCCAATAGCTTTAGCCTCCTGATCATTCTCCTTGGCTAGTACTTTGCCCTAAATCTTTTGGTTTGCAAAGCTAAAGAAACACAGTAGTCCTTACATCAAAACCTCAATGAAAAAAATTAACAATATGTTCAATTTCTAACTATTCCCAAAACCACAGAGATATGAAGGAATGCCCAAAAAAAAAGTAAAAAATGCGACAAATGTGTCCCATTAGTTGACTCAAGTTGCCTAGCAAGTTAATCCAAAATATCCCCATTTCCAAAGGGACCACACCCCATTCATGCCTTACATTGAATATCATTCAAACAAAATTAAAAAATCCATAGATATTCACATCCATATTGATCCTAACACTAATGCCTCACAACTCAGGGAAGAATGAACCAATCAACAATGCGAGGGCATGAGGCTGTGCATGCAAGTGAAGAATATTGAACCCTGGAGGATAACCCCCGAGACACGGAAGGTTAGTGGAGTCAGTGTCAAACCCCACCCAAAAGAGAATAGCACATGAAAAATTAACGACTATGGAGTCACTTGATTTACGAAACGCCATTGTTTATGGTAGAGGGATAGCTTCTCCAGATGCAAGCTTCTTGATGACATCGTTAATGACTGGAGAGGTCAACGAAGATAGCGCTGCCGCATAGAGCAACGAGGCTTCGATCTCTGGATCTGCACCGGCATCAACACAAGCAACTTGATCCAAAGGAGATGCATCCCCAAATTCATGAAACATCTCTCGATTGTTGAACGTTTCATCAATCGGTTGTTCCATCTCTGTCTGAGGCACCTCATTTTGGTCTATCGCTTCGGATCGGCGAATAATTAACTTCAACGAAAACTTGCGAAAAGCCTTTTGAATTTTGATAGCTGCTTTTGCTTTGTGCTGCTCATGGATCAATTTCCGGAGCAAGTGCGTTATGGTCTTGCATGTGGTGTTCATCACTGCAAAACCAAATTTCGTCTCCAGTGATTGCTGGTGAGTGGCATTGATGGAAGGAGTCATCGTGGAGAGTGAGATCGGCAATGAAAGCACCAATTGATATGTTTTCTGATGTTCCTCTCTTCGAGGGAGATGATCCTCTTCTAACTTCAAAAGTTAGCCAAAATATTCCCTATTCATTAACAATTCGATTAGAGTCTTTATACACCCAAGCTCCTACCAATAACAAAAAATGAAAAAAAATGCATACAAGCAACACTCATAGAATCTACTAACAGAATTTAATAACCAAAAGCATAGCCTCCTAACATAAATGCAAACCACCTACTCACAGCTAAGGGTGTAAATGGGCCAGGCTAGGCCGGGTTTTGGCCTTTCTAGCCTAAGCTTACGTAAAAAAAGATTCAACCTATCTGGTCTATTGGCCTATTAAAGACTTTGTTTATAGGCCAGACCTGGCCTATTTTTAAAAATTAGAAAGTCTGATATGACCTACAGGCCTTGTAGGCCTCCCACTGTAGATACTAAGTAAAGAAAATAATTGTAAAGTGCAAAGAAAGTTTCACTCATGCATGCACTAATACTTCTCATAAGAAATAAAAAATGACAAACAAGAGTCAACATAATACCCCAGCTCTATAATGTATATCTGAGGGGAATTAGAGTCAAAGAAATGGGGAAAATAAGAAAGAAATACAATTACTGGGTCAACCAAAGACGAAACTTAGAGACGAGAGTGAGAAGTCACTTAAAAGCGGCTGTGCACAAAAGAAATTAGGGTTGGTACTTTGCCACCTAAAATAAATATATTATTTTATTTTAAAAAAATTAAATAGGTTAGCCTACAAAGCTTTAGGCCAGGCTTGACAAAGTTAGCCTATAGGCCTACTTGTTAAAAGGCTTTCTTGTAAGCCTAAGCCTACTCTACCTTTCAGAAAGGCCGGGCTAGGCTAGGCAAGGCTTAACATAGGCCGAGTTGTTGGCCAGGCCAGGATTTACATCCCTACTCACAGCTCATACCTATTGCTCATATCAAAAAATCATTCATCCACTTAGGCTGGTATTTTGCTTCTTTTTGGACCACCTAGACTTTGGGCTAATGTGATGACATATTTGCTGTTGCTCTAGCCCAATAGCTTCAGCCTCCTGATCATTCTCCTTGGCTAGTACTGTAACAATTACCTTCCACGGAAACTTTAGCAGCTATTTTTTAATTTTTTTTAAATGTAATCCTTTATTAATTACATATTTTTATATACTTATAATGGAGCAACAACTTTGAGGTATATTTTTTAGCGTAATGATGATTATTATAACTTAAAAATGGCATTCAAATTAAGAAAGCAACTTCTAAATTAAATATCTTCTAATAACTTTTCCTTCTAACAATGTAGTTTTTTTTTTTTTTTTTTTAAGTTATCTCTTTGCTCAAATTTTCAGAATTCAGAGCCCAAAACCCAACCCAAAGCCCAAAGTTTCCAACTTGTAATTAAGGTTGGGCCTTAACCTAAATTACCAAAACCTCACCCTTTTTCTTCATTCCCATTTCACTCTTGTCTTTGACGTTGACAACGATTCAACTACAAACCACTAAAGTGAAAATTTCTCAGTCACAAAAAAATTTCTAACTCCCATTTTCTCTTTTTGTCTCGCCATTTCCTTTCGTTTTGGCACTCTGCAAATCCATTTAGCTGCTTTTACAGGTACAAATGTTCATGGAACTCACGGATTCTTTGTTACAATTGATTTGAATGGTTCATTTGTTACTTTCTTTTGTTCATCCCCTTAAGTTCTTGATGAAGAATTGTGGGTTGTTTTCAAAATGTGTGTTTTTTTTTTGTTTCAAATAAATGGTAGCACACTCTCTCTATTGTTGTTTTGATGTTTTTTTTTTTTTTTTTATAAAATTTGTTTAGTTTAGCTGGCTGGAAATCTGTGTAATAGTTACGATAGGAATGATAAAGATGAATTCTTTTTCACTTCAGAAATGAGCATGGTGATACGAATGGGTGATTGTAGTACTATTGTGTGATGGGATGTCTTTCACCAAAAAAAAAAACCCATTTTTCGAATTTTTATTTTCTTATTTCTTTTTAAAAATAATGATAAAAAATACTCAATTTTTAGCTCAGTAGAAGTACTAGTTGATTGTTAACTTTTCCATTTCCGGGGTGTGAATTTAAAGTAATATAATTGGATAATGCCAACCTAGTAAGAATTAAAGCTACTTTGTTACTCGTGAGTATCAGCGAAGTTAAGGTTATTGACAAGCTATAAACAAAGCTTGTATTTTTAATCTAATATTTGTAGAATTCTTTAAAGCAAGTAATAGCAATTTGATTTTAAGCAGTTAGCTAGAGCTGTTTTTAAAACTGAAAAACTTACTTGAGAGGCTACTTTTGGGATATTGGTCCAAGATGCTGCATTGAGCCTTGCTAGTGTCTGGTAACTGTATATTAGATAATGCTGTTCAAAGTGTCGAAGTGCTGTTTATGAACTTTTATTTGTCGCAAAACTATGAAATTTCCAACAATAGTTCGGGTGAAAATAGATATAAATAGCTATTACTATAATATTTGGTTGGTTGTTTAAAACTATACTAATAAAAATAGCGCTGTGCTGTCATTGCCAGAATCACGATAGCTATTTGAATGTTAGAATGTTATCCACCCAACGACAGAGAAATATTGTAGGTTTAGAAACTGTGTGCTCAGCATGATTTATCAAATTATAAAAAAATAATTCATGTAAATGTAAGATAGATAAGAAGTTATACCATTTTTAATCTCTTATCAAAATGTAGCCCTGCCCCCTGCAAGAATGAAAACAACTAATGTATCCTAGTGTTTGGGGTGAAACTTTAAATGTTGGATGGAGCTGTGGTGATAGTTTCTAATGTCTATTGAAATAAATATAAGTGACTGAAAAAGGCAATGTACACTTTACTTGATAGGAAGAATCATGTAATGCTGCATTATTTCAAGTTTATAAGGTATATTGGACAAATATTTTTTTGAATGTATCAGTGCATCCATACACAGCCATGGTGTTGACAAGCTTTGATCCCAAAATCTAGTAAATCAAGTTTGAGACTATTCACTATTTGTACGATTTTGTTGTGGTCAGTATTTTTAGTGTGTACAATATGCTTATGTTTTGATCATCCTTAATTTTGGAGTAGTGTGTATTTACCTGCTTTTCATTTCTGTATTGTTGTCTGCTGTGCTTATTGAAATCTTATCCTTAACTTTGCAGCTTTCATTTTGAATTTGATAGATGCCAAATCATTCTTCATTCTTCATTCTACCCTTTGGCAAGTTCACACATGTCTCACTTACTAGTTGAAATATTGTGATAGAGAGATTTGTGTAGCAGTCCAAATTCTCTCATGGACCTTGTGCATTTGAGTAACGTTGCTTGAGGAACATAATCCTGATTACAGAAGTCCTTTGGCAGGTGGACATATTAAGTGGTTGCTTGGACTTGAAGTCTAAATATTAATCTCATTGCTTGAACCATAAAGGAACTTCCAATATCCACATATTTCACTTTTCAGATTGTTTTCAGATGTCAGAAATTGACATGGCAGTTATTAAACCCGAGGTATGATTCATAGTGTTTTTTTTTTTTTGGTGAAAACCATCTAGTTCAATGGTTACATTTCGTTTTGAAAAGTACTGCTTACTTTTTGCTTTTGGTAGTAATGCTTAACTTCTTCCTTTGATCTTCATTTATACACACTGTATTCTCTTCTATATGGTTCATTAATCCATTTCCAGTAATATTTGATACACTATTGGCTTTACTCTATATTCAATAATCTCAATAGGTTTAGTTTTTGTAATATCCCAGGAAAATAATAGTAATTTATAATACAATAAATTAATAATAGTAATAAATTATAAATTAGTAGTAATAAAAATAATGTGTGTGTATATATATATATATATATATATATATTTAGTATTAGATGATAAATTGTGATTGTTTGAATTATTAATTGATTGATCATTTATCAAAATATTTTTAGTTAAAGAAAATTAAGATGTACCTAATCCAATAAGTGTCTAGCATGACTTCATTAAATTATTTTCCTTTATTTACTAAAAACAAATATGTACATTTTTCTTGCTTTAACTTAATTTTGAGTTAAGTAGTAATGACGTCGGAGTCTTTCCAAATAAATACCTTTACCTACATTCGCGCTTATTGGTGTGTTTACGTAAAATGCAATTTGTCTATCAATAGTTGAGTTTTAATTTAGAGAGACTTTTTTTTTAAAATAGAATTTCGAAACACTTTTAGTGGGACACATAGGTGGTCGATATAATTAAAATAAAATAATGCACATTTAATGATCGCGACGAGTAAAAGATACATTTTGCTCTTGGGAATTTTTCCTTAATTTAATCTTTGATCCTTAAATCGTGTATCTCAATTTCCAATAGGAGAATAATATTTAAGGCTGGGAGAACCCTATTGTTATTTGGTTGTTTTTGGTTAAAGAAAATTAAGAAAAGAGAATAATATTTTATCGCAATCCTTGTATTTGTTTTTACTTCTGTTTAGCCAATTGGTTACTGCTCCGGCATTATTTGGTAATCAGAGCTCTGGTTGTCACATAAATGGCTGAACAGAACAATGGCGGTTGAGGTCAAGGTCGTGGACGACGGGGTCGAGGCGACGGCGGTGATAGAAGGCATGTTAACACCCTAAACGTCGACGGCAAACAACCACACATTGACGTGCGACACACCATAATTGTAGCAATGGCTGCTACATTGGCAGAACATGGTAGGCGAATTCAGGAGCTCGAACAAGTATTTGCCCAAACACAGTTGGACGAGTCAGATGAAGGAAGGGAATCTGAAAGATCATCTCATGAGGAGGAAAGGAGCAAAAACTCATTCTGGAATTGGAATGAGGAGGGACGAGGACGAAGTCAATCTCGAAATCAATCCTTTTTTGCTAATATTGGGGTGAAGATTGAGATCCGGAATTCGAGGGTACCACTCATACAAATGAGTTTACCGACGGGTCACACACCGTCGAAAAGGTCTTTGACATCATAGACTTGACAGAAGACCAGAAGGTCCCGATCTATGATGAATATGATGAAGAGCAAGATGATGAGAATCTTGTTATGGATGCTCCAATTTATGACGAGTTCCCTATCTAGGATAAGTATGATTGGGAGCAAGACGATGAGAATCCAGAGGTAGAAGAAATCTCTTATATTGATTTCGGTGGAAAATCAGTTATTAGAAATTCTAATATCTCTGACGACAAAGATGAAGTTCTACTCCAGTATTATGAATTTGGGGACAACGAGCATAACAACCTCATGCTCCATGGAGATAAAGATTTAACTTTTGATAAAAGTTTAATTGGAGATCGTAAGGGGCAATGGGAATTACTGTTACATCAGACAAAAATTTCCAAAGACGGATCACAGATGTGATCATTGAACCAAATTATGGGCAATAGTCCTTTTGGAATAGTTTATGGGTTTTGTCCAGTTACTCCCTTAGAAGAACTCGCAATATTTCTAGTTCCCACGCAGTTCAATACGAATGTAGACGAGCGTATCAAGAAAGAATTGCATTCACAAGTCCTAATCTTAATTAGGAAATTTGGTGATATTGTACCAGAAGAATTGCCACCTGGGTTACCACCTGAAGAAGTTCATATCAATGAAGACGAAGCAGATTCGAGGGCGAATCTTTTTCAAGTGGGAGAGAATGATGCACCCGAGCTGACTTGCTTGGATTGGGCATTTCCATAATTTATATCTTTATTTAGGGAATTTTAATAATTACTAGTTATTTCCTTTTGTTATTTTAGATTATGTTTGAGTGTGCGTTGATTGTGCGTTATCTTCTTTGATTGTGCATAATTATAGTTATTTCCTTTTTTTGTTACTTTGTTTTTGCCTATTTAAGGCTTGAAGAACCCTATTGTTATTTGGTTGTTTTTGGTTAAAGAAAATTAAGAAAAGAGAATAATATTTTCTCGCAATCCTTGTATTTGTTTTTACTTCTGTTTAGCCAATTGGTTACTGCTCCGGCATTAGGTTTGACGATTTTAATTTTCTTGTTATTTTTCCACTATTTTATGTTATTTTTAATGGGATAGGATATTGTGACACACAAATAATGTTACGCACAATGTTACGACCACATCTTAACCGTTGATTTCCGCCAATCAACGGTTATCATTTTTCAAATCAAACTCATTAATTAATTATTAATTCGCAATAAATATGCTATCCCATTTTTAATACAAAAATCATACTTTTTGTTCCAAAAAAAACCGTGACCCATAACTTGAAAAATTATTTTTTAAACTTCCAAAATTTCTCAAAAATGATTACAAAATATGCTGTTTTTGAGATAGATTATATTAAAATCTTGTTTGTTTGTTGTTTCTGGGTTGTTTTGTGATGAAAATCGCTCAAAAATATGCTATTTTTTGAGTTTTGACGAAGCTCCTATGGCGGAATTCGATTTCGAGTGGGTCAACCTCCTAAAGGAAGAAGAAAGCACTGCAAGAGAGAAATCTCAAAAAATCCTAGGAGTTAGGGTGAGATTGTGAAAGAGGCATCCTATTTATATTTCTTACTAAAAAGTCTCACAAAATCAGCACCAATAGAAATTCCATTAAAATCATTAGATTTTTGAATACCACAAGATTGTTTTTCCATTGTTTAAAATCTTGATTGAATACCAACGGATTTGGACGGATTTTAAAATAATCTTTTAAAATCCTAATCGAATACCACATGACTTTTTTTCAATCCATTAAAATCTTAATTGAATACCCATGGATTTTTTTGTCCAAAAATAATCCATTAAAATCCTTTGAAATCCCAATCCAATACACCCCCTTAATCTCTTAGGATAGAGATTGTAGGGAGGGATCACGGATATAAAATTGACAATATGTGCATGCATGACCTATCAATTAAATTACAGGGAAACTCAGTGATCTTTCTCTTTCTATCGCTCTCTCTCTCTTACACACACACATATTCCAACTTTAGAAAACATTAGACATGCAAGTCAACTTGCCTTGTGGCTCACACAAGTCTTCGCATTATCTACTCCTTGAATCCTCGAATAGAGTTACTGTAGACTCGGTAATAACTTTCATGTTCGAATTTCTCTTTGGTTGTTTTATGTGTACTTGTCTTGTTTGGGATGTCAAAATTGCTATACTTTAACCCAAGAAAACTTCCCTCCCAGAGAATGAAGACCTTGCTTTGCTTACTTTTTTACATTGAAACTGAAATCATACTGGTACTTGTTTGCATTTTTTAGATGATGAAGCCTTATGTGTGGCTTCAGACTTCCGATGATTCAATCCAACAAGTGGAACAAGAAATTGCTATGATTTGTCCACTGCTATGTCAAGAAATAATACAAAAAGGAATGGGATCTTCTAAGAATTGTGCAATATGTCTTCCTCAACAAGTCAGTCCTGCCATGTTGAGCTTAATTCTTGATTATTGTCGATTTCATCAATTACCAGGCCGCTCAAACAAGGTTCTACTGGTTTCTGCAATGCTTTATCCTTATTATCTTTGTACTAGAGAAGACGATCCAAGTCTGAACAATGAATGCCGAAGGTTATTTGACTTGGCGGTTATTCTTTTTTTTTTTTTTTATAGGAACGGAAGTCTTATGATGAGAAATTCATTAAGATGGACACGGAGAGGCTCTGTGAGTTAACCTCTGCTGCGGACAGCCTTCGGTTAAAGCCCTTGGTTGATCTTACTAGTCGTGCACTTGCTCGAATAATTGAAGGAAGAACACCGGAGGAGATACGTGAGATATTTCATTTACCTGATGATCTTACAGAGGTGTCTGGTGCTTGTGAGAACTCTGTATGCCGATTATGTCTTCTTGGATTTTCAATTTTCATTTCTCACACATACTTTTGATCCAGGAAGAGAAGTTGGAGCCCTTGAAAAACATAACTGATGACCCAAGGATCAGGCTTTTGAATCGTTTGTATGCCAAAAAGAGGAAAGAGCTAAAAGAGCGTGAAAGGTTAAAGGTGCCACCGAATTGTTTCTTACTTTATTTTTAGCACATTTTATATGTCACACTGTCATATGTAGTTCCATAATTAGGTATTTCTCATTGAACTTTTGTTGATGAGACGATGCAGATCAGTGTTGTCAATGGTGTATGCAGAAACTTCTATAGTTTTATGGCAGATTGCATGGTTTCCCCATATTAAAGCAAGGCAACAATGTTGGAGAGCATGTAACTTTTTTTTTTTTAAATAAAATAAAAGAAAAAATTCATAAACATGTCCTCCTTAACAAAAGAACAAAACATAATACAAGAAAGAAAAAAGAGAAAACCGATGGAGCAAAGCTGCCCAATGCTTCAACATGCGTTAGGAAAACCCCTTTAATGAGGACATGTGTTTTGAACCAAATAGAGGCCAGTGTCTTCATCTTATACCAAATCAAGTGTTGTGCCATTAAACCTTCTTAAACTTAAACCAAATCCACAACAGTGTAGCATAGGTTGCCCAGTACTGCACAAATTTTTGCCTTTTTACTTCCACCAAATCTGTGAAAGCTAATCATCAAAATTGGTCTAGTGACCAAGGACACACCCAACATTCACAAAATTTGCCACAAAATAGAATTCCTTAAAGAAACAGCAGCATAACAGTGTAAGAAACAGAAGCATAACTTGGAATTGATTCTGAGCAAGCACTGCACATTACACACATATCAGTGGGAAAAAGCCTTATTCGGCCTACGAACTGGCAACATGTCATTAGGGTTAATTCTATTAAGCATTGCAGTCCTAATAAAAGACTTGATCTTAGAGGTTGCTTTGGACTTGATAAGGGGTTTATCAAGAAGAAAAGTAGCCCTAATAAAAAAATGACTGAGGAATTGCAAAAGTGTAAAATTTCATACAAATTTAATAAAGTATTTTGCTACAGCAGCATTCGTATCACTTTCCAGAGCAATGGTTGTACTTCGGTCCGCTATCAGTCTTATTTGTTCTTCATGAAGCTGAGGATCCTCCACTTGCTATATCCCCTGATTGAGAAAAAGGAATCAAATCTGAAAAAACAGAGAATACTAATTTAGAAAAAAAAACAGAGTGGGTAGGAGCAGGAAAAATTGAGAGATGTGAAACAGAAAAATGAAGTGAACAGTAATATAGGACATACTCTGTCGGGAAACACAGACCAAACATGGAAAAAAGCATACAATAAATAGAAAGTGAAGAGTTATTAGCTTTTCAATGCAGGACTTAATTATAAAAGAATATGTTGTGTATTGATTTAATTCAGAGGGATACAATATATAGAGACTCTAATGGACTTATATGAAAGGCCCAGACCTAATACAATCAGAATAATTACAGACTCTAGTCATATCTAATCATATCTAATCAGACTAATCATATCTAATCATATCTAATATATTTAATATATTCTAACACTCCCTCTCAAGCTGGTGCGTATATATTGTGAGCACCAAGCTTGTTACAAATGTATTGAACTCGAGGACCTCTAAGAGCTTTAGTGAAGACATCCGCAAGTTGATCAGAGGAGTTGACGAAAGCAATCTTGATTTCTCCTGATTGAATCTTTTCTCGAATAAAGTGACAATCAATCTCTATATGTTTGGTCCTCTCATGAAAGACAGGATTAGAGGATATATGTAGCGCAGCTTGATTATCACAGATGAGTGTCATGGGTTGTTTCTGTTCACAAAGATGAAGCTCCTGAATCAACTGCTTTAACCAGATTAACTCACAGGTAGTATTTGCCATTGCACGATACTCAGCTTCTGCACTAGACCGAGCAACTACAGGTTGTTTCTTGCTCTTGCACGAAATTAAGTTTCCTCCAAAGAAGACACAATAGCCGGAAGTAGAGCGCCTGTCCGAGGGTGATCCTGCCCAATCAGCATCTGAATAACCACGAATTTCTGTATTTCCCTGGTCTGAATACAACAAACCTTTTCCTGGTGCTCCTTTGATGTATCGGAGGATCCTCACAGCAGCATCCCAATGTGAATCACAAGGGGAATCAAGCAACTGACTAGCCGTACTAACAGCGCTCCTTTGATGTATCGGAGGATCCTCACAGCAGCATCCCAATGTGAATCACAAGGGGAATCAAGCAACTGACTAGCCGTACTAACAGCGAAAGAAATATCTGGCCTAGTCACAGTAAGATAATTGAGCTTCCCAATTAGCCTCTGATAACGTCCAGGATCAGATAACGGCTCCCCCTGTCCGGACAATAACTTGACATTAGGATCCATGGGTGTATCAACTGGTTTACTCCCCAACATACCAGTTTCTTCGAGGATATCCAAGGCATACTTCCTTTGACAAATAGAGATTCCCTGTCTAGATTGCGCCACCTCAATTCCCAAGAAGTAACGCAACTTCCCAAGGTCCTTTGTTTGAAATGCACTGAATAAATGCTGTTTTAACTGACGAATTCCGTCTTGATCACTTCCGGTGAGAATGATGTCGTCAACATAGACTAACAAATAGATGCATTTGTCAGGAGATGTAATCCTATAAAATACAGAATGATCAACTTTACTGCGGATTAAGCCAAACGCCTGAACGGCAGAGCTGAAGCGACTGAACCATGCGCGAGGAGACTGCTTGAGACTATATAAGGATTTTCGAAGACGACACACTTTTCCAGACTCCCCCTGAGCAACAAAACCAGGTGGTTGCTCCATGTAAACTTCCTCTTGCAAATCACCATGAAGAAAGGCATTTTTGATGTCAAGTGAAGGAGTGGCCAGTGATGAATAGCAGCAAGGGCAAGAAATAGGCGGACTGACGCCATCTTAGCGACCGGAGAGAATGTATCGCCATAATCAAGGCCAAAGATTTGAGTAAAACCCTTGGCAACTAGGCTTGCCTTGAGTCGATCAACATGACCATCCGGTCCAACTTTCACAGTAAACACCCAGCGACAACCAACTATAGACTTCTCTGGAGGAGCAGAAACAAGGTCCCAAGTGCCATTGGAATGAAGGGCAGTCATCTCATCAAGCATCGCTTGGCGCCACCCTGGATGAGATAGTGCTTCACCTGTGGTTTTAGGAATAGAAATAGAAGAAAGACTAGAAACAAAGGTGAAATGAGGTGAAGAAAGACGGTCATAACTCAAAAAGGTATAAAGAGGATAAGGGTTACGAGTAGTACGTGTACATTTTCTTTGAGCAATAGGAAGAGCCTCTGGTGAAGGATCCGGAGGGGAAGAATCAACTGCAGGGGGCAATGAGTCAGCAGGAGTCGAGTCGACAAGAGGCACAGTTTTACGACGCTGATAAGTGAGAAGTGGACGGTCAACAGGTATTGAAGCAGGAGGTTGCTTATCTGGAATTGCATAGAAGTACCTGCAGCTGACAAAGACAAGTCAAGAAAAGGGACAAGAAGAACATGATCAACCTGTGACAACTGAGATGGGATAGAATGAAAGGGTTGTTGATCAAGAAAAGTGACATCAGCAGAAACTAAGTAACGCTTAAGATCTGGAGAATAACAATGATAACGCTTTTGAAGACGAGAATAACCAAGAAAAATACATTTAAAAGCTTTAGATGTTAACTTGTCCTTACCAGGGGTGAGATCATGAACAAAACAGGTACAACCAAAGACATGTAGGGATAGAGGATAGAGAGGAGCATCTGGAAGCAATAAGTGATAAGGAATGTCATTATTAAGCACAGATGAAGGCATACGGTTGATGAGAAAAGAAGAGGCAAGGACTGCATCGGCCCAGAAGTGAAGAGGAACATGTATGTGAATAAGAAGAGTCCGTGCAATCTCAATGAGGTGTCTATTCTTACGTTCAGCTACTCCATTTTGTTGTGGAGTGTGAGGACAAGTAGTTTGGTGTAAAGTACCCTATTTGGCTAAGAAATTAAAAAAGTCCACAGAAACATATTCCTTAGCATTATCTACATAAAATACGAATAGAGGCACCAAATTGAGTAAAAATTTCAGCAGAAATTTTTTGATAAATAGAAAACAACTCAGAACGGTTTTTCATTAAATAGATCCAAGTACAACGAGAAAAATCATCAATAAAGATAACAAAATACCGAAAACCTAAAACAGCACACTACGACTAGGACCCCAAATATCTGAATGAATAATTGAAAAAGGAGCATCAGCTCGTTTATTGACTCGATTAGCGAAGGAAGAGCGTATATGCTTTCCTTGCTGACGTGACTGACAATCTAAAATCTGAAGACCGGACAAAAGAGGAACCATCTTCTGTAACTTGGAAAGACTAGGATGCCCGAGGCGACTGTGGATGAGATGTGGAGATTCTGTGAGAGAACAAGCAACGGAAGGACTCGGCACAACCAGGTAGAACAGACCCCGTGACTCACGGCCCACTCCAATCTTCTTCCCCGTACCTGGGTCCTGCACAGAAACAGAATGATTTGAGAAAGTGACAATACAGTTAAGAGAGTTGATCAATTTACTAACAGATATTAAATTGTAAGGGATGTGAGGAATATAATAGACAGATGTTAAGGTCAATGAGGAGGTTGGACAGATTTGTCCAATTCCATGAACAGGAGCCTTAGTGCCATCAGCAAGGGTAAAAGAGGGTAAGTTATCAGAATATGTAAGGGATGAAAAGAGTTCCTTATTACCACATAGGTGATCAGTAGCACCTGAGTCAAATATCCAAGGGCCAAGTGATGCAGAATGAGAAACACAAGCAACGGGATTACCAGTTTCTGAAGCAGAGGCCTGAGACTAAGGAGAGACCTTTCTGAGAAGAGTCTGGAATGCTGCATAGTCTTCAGAAGAGAGAGAGACTGTACCATTTGAAGCAGAATCCGATTGAGCTATATTAGCAGCATAAGAAGGTCGCAGGTGAGGGTACTTTGTGTAGCAACGTTCCTCATAATGACCAAGTTGCTGACAGTAATTACAACGAGGTCACTGACCACGTCCGACTGGGCCTCCTGGGGCTCTTGGACCACGTCCTCCTGGGGCTCTTGGACCACGTCCCCCCGGACCTCTACCACGACCACGTCCACCTCCAATGTTCCCGCGAAAGTCAGTACGGGAAACTAGAGCAGTAGAATCAACAGCAGAAGACGATGCAAGAGCAGATTTCTTATTCAGATTCAGAAGACTCTGATACGTCATTGAAAGATCAGGCTCCCCACTAGTCCAGATAGTATCCCGGACATTATCATATATCATATTCTTCAGGGAGGCCAGACAGTGTGGCAACCATAAAGAGGCGTTCCACCTGTTTCCGATATGCAGTAGCATCAGTAGGGTAAGGCAACATATCCAAATATGCTTGCATCAAAGATCGACTCTTGCCAACATATGTTTCCATCTGAATGTCGGATGATTTGCTCAGTTCTATAAACTGAGAGATGATGAAATAGAGCTGCTGAACATCATTAGTGTAGAGGTTTTTTGCTTCCTGCCACACTTCAGTACAAGTTTGAAACGAATAGAAGATGTCTAAGACAACTGGATCAATAGATTGCTAGAGGATGCTCAGAAGCTGGTTGTCGATCTTTTCCCAATCAGACTTTTTCTCCTTAGGGACATCAGTAGACTTAGTCGTGAGGTGGCTCCCATGTCCTTGGCCAAAGAACCAAACCCGAACAGAGGTGGCCCAGTTCTTGTAATTAACAGAACCCTTCAATTTTGAAGAGGTAATGAACCCAACATTGGTAGAGATGATATTGGGAGAATTTTTGACAGGAAGAGGTGGAGAATTGACCTCCGAATGAACAGAACCATATGCTACCATAATAAGAAATCAGAAAGATATTAACCGAGTAAATAGGAATGAACCTGATCACTGATCAAGAAGGGGTGCGCGCAAAAAGTCAGACCCACACCAAAACAACCACAGATCCAGAAAGAGCAAGAGAAGGCGAGCTTCTCTGTCCAAGACCGGCCGGAAAAAGCCGCCGGAAAATGGCTCACACGCCGGAAAAAGGTGGCGCGGTGGCGCGTGAAGCCCACGCGCAGGGAAGACAGGTGGCGCGTGAGAGCGCGTGGGAGCTCCGATGGTGGCCGGACCTCCACAGACCTGGTCGCCGGGAAGAGACGGTCCTGATCGCGTGAAGTTTGGTCGGAAAAGTCGCCGGAAAAAGTCTCCGGTGGCTTGAACAGTGATTCCGGTGGCAGCGGGTGGTTCCGGTGGCCGTCGGAGGTGCTGACGCGGTTGGAAAAAAAATACTCAGAAGCTGTTTACAGCCTTAGATGGCTTGCCGGAAGGACGCACGGCAAGAAAGATGACTCCTAAGCAGTGGGCTTAGGTTTTAAAGCAAAATCAAAGTTTCTAAGCGGAAGCGAGGGTCCCCAGAACGAACAAGCTCTGGTACCAACTTAATTATAAAAGAATATGTTGTGTATTGATCTAATTCAGAGGGTTACAATATATAGAGACTCTAATGGGCTTATATGAAAGGCCCAGACCTAATACAATCAGAATAATTACAGACTCTAATCATATCTAATTAGCCTAATCAGCCTAATCATATCTAATATATTTAATATATTCTAACAGCATGAACGACAATGTCTGGAAGCTTTTCAATGTGAAACTGAGATTGAAAAAACCCTGGAATATTTTCATTGTGAAACTGAAATTGAATTGAAGAAAGTAATAGGACAAAATATCGCTTTTGTGTCATAAAAATAATAAAAAGAGAGGAATCAGAAACAATTTTTATTGTTCATTTTAAAAAAAGAATAGGAAGAGAGAGGGTTTGAAACAGAGTAATACGAACCTTAAGAGAACCTCACTCCAAAGCTAGCTCAAAAGGGAGGAGAGCCCAAAGTCCATATAAACCCCACATCAGTCACCCATATAACCAATGTGGGACTCCAAGTCCCATACCTTGGAGTAGGATCGTAACATTTCATCACACTTCGCAGCCCTGGCATTGCGCTAGTCCTTTACTACCCGGGATGAGCACTACAATGCCAGCGTCACCACCCGCGCCGCTCGATTGCAATTGAGAGCCAGTGGAAGGCTCTGATACATACGAATCTTAGGAGAACCTCACCCCATAAATAGCTCAAGAGGTAGGAGAGCCTAAAGTCCATATAAATCCTATATTAGTCACCCATATAACCAATGTGGGACTCCAAGTCCTTTACCTTGGAGTAGGATTGTAACACAGAGTATTGCAGAGCACAAAACAAAAATCTGACACTGGACGAAGATAATTGGAAAAGTTGAGGTGGATGTTACCTAAAACAGAATTTTGTAGGTTTTAGAAGATTTTCAGATGTTGAAACTCCATGGAGCTGAAGCTCTGAAACGTATTTAACATCACAGCCTCTATGCGTGAGAAACTAGACAAAATGTGATAGGATTTTCTGATCTAATTGATGTTCAAGCTCAAAAGATCTCATCACCCTAAAAATTTCAAGCTCATTGGTTCAAAATCAGGAAAGATGAGTAATTTCTCATCTATTGTTGCTATTTCAAAGGTGCTTCACCAACCATTGACAACACTGTTGCATATTTATTCCTGTGTCATGTTATTTGTCCTAAAGTGTAGATAAGTTTTGAGTTAAATAACAATCAATTCCTTGTACGTTTCAGAATGTCGAAGTTGAAGAAGAGCATGTAGATGAACGTTCGGTTGATGATCTTTTGTCTTTTATTAATGGAAATGATGGAGGTAAATTAAGCTTTTTAGTCGTCCTTTTCTTTTTGTTTCCGTCATGTTTTTCTGTCTATAGGTTGATGAAATGTGTATCGTTTCATTCATAATTTTAGAAGACTTTCTATTTAATGTTACCTTTGGCCTAAAGAAATCCCTTCTTAACTCAAAAGATGAGCTTACAAGTTGACTTGAGGGAACGATCAAACTTTCAGTCAGTATCACTCAGAATGCACAGACAACTGTCCTGTATGGATGGTCTATAGGTAAAGATGATGACATTCTGTAATTGAGAGAACCAGTGGCAGCATTTTTAGATGATAAATTATCACTAGTCTCCAACAAGTTTATGACAGACTAGCCGGAGTAGCATTGGGGAGGATGGTGCTAACATCTGTCCCCTTTTCTATATGACAAGCATTTTATCCTTTGACTAAATTTAAACATGCCCACAAAATTTAACTTTATAAGATCATGAAATTGATATGAAACATATTTGTGAATTATTTATTTAATTTTTTCAGATCATTATAATTAGAAAACAAATAAAAGAAAAATATTCACAAACATGATTAACTTATTTATTTATAGGTATATTTTTTTTTTCTTGGTGCCATATTTCATTAATGATGTGACTGCACTTATTGCCGCATAATTTGAGATAAGAATTTTGGTATGATTTTTGGGTCGTGTAGCATTACTAATTGCATTCTTGAAATTAGTTTGAGATTCTTTTGGGGAGGGAATGGGCTGAGAGCTATAGCCTTGTTATATATTCTTCAGTTTCCCTTTTGAATTCCTAACTGGAGGTGTGAATAATTTTATCACAGATCCAAAGGGGATTAAAACTTCCAAGAATAAAAAGAAGAACCGGAGGAAAAAAGAGCAACAGAAGAACTCTTCTTTGAAGGAAGCATCTGAACTGAATAAGGTGGTTGTAAATGTTCTGCTGTTTAATCTATTCACTACTAAATTTGGTATTATTTCTTTTTGAATGGACATAGTTTGTGGTCATATCACCAAAATGTTATAAGTGTTTATTGCCTTTTTTTCTTATAATAGGATGTAAATGGTCATAATATCACACAACAAAGTTCTGAAGCTGATAGGATAGGCGAGACCTCAAATTCACACTATACAGAAGATGAAACTTCTACTCCTCCGGTTGAGTTCGATGATGGTGATATAGATGATGAGATCGATCCTGCGTTAAAGGCAAAAATTGACAGGTGGGGCTATTAGTATTTTCTAACTCAATGCTTTACACTGTATTTTTGTTTGGTGGCTGGCTATCATCTTTATCATAGTCTTAGCTAGCTTTTATTCTGCTTAGTCAGCAGCATCTTCAAATTGATTTTATATGGACTATATAGTATATGCAGAGGACAAGGCACTACTAGAATGATTGAGCTCTATGCTTATATTTTTTGGTTTTCAAGGAATTGAACCTATGTTTTCTGTACACTTGAGCTAAGCCCTACTGGCAATGTTCACGACACTCTTTATTTACCTTGCATGTTTTTGTACCAGTTAATTTTAGGAAAACAAAGCTATATCTTTGATATAAGGAGATGTTTGCATGGTGGTTACACTAAAATGGTTTAAAGATGATGCTCACTAAAATTTTATTTGTGTGTTACCTTTCGATGCAGGGAAGTTGAAGATTTTGCCCGCAGATTAAATGCTGACTGGCCTGAGAGAATGCAAGAATTTTTATCATCTGGGCAAGAGAGGAAGACAATGCTTTTTAGTACAGAGGGGAATGGTTTTCTAAGGCGACATTCTTGTATGCTTTTTCCATGTTTTTCAGTATTTTCCTTTACCCATCATATGCTTTCTAGCTGAACTTTAAAAATGATTTGTGCTAAAACATTTTTTTTTTCTTTTTCCTGTTCCCATTTTTATTTAGTATAACTTGAAAACTTAGTTGCATAATATATATTTTGGGTCTCCATTTTCCTATTTCCCCTTCCTTTTGAATCTCATTCTTGTTTCTTTTTGCACCTTTTGCATTTTGGTCTACTAGTGTTGATGACATGGTTCATTCATACCACAACTAGTTTAAGATAAAAAGTATTGTTGATGATGATGTTTTCTAATAGGGATTAATGTTTCTCTCGCAAGCTTATCTCCTGCATACATATGAGAGTGGGTGGAACCCTATGAGAAGAAGAAAGAGAAAGAGAAAAATAAAAATTATCTCCTATTTGTAGAAAAAATGTTAAACCCTTTAAAAAATTTGTTTTATGTTTATACTCTTTCGGGGTATACTTGATGCATGTTAGTCTGTTAGGTAATCCTGTTGTGCAGGGTCACAATTGCATCATACCATACCCTATCAACTCATAGACCATGATGTGCTATTATTGCCACAGACTTTTATTCTTACCTAATTTTTGTGAATTTGGTAGTTTTTGATTGGTTTGTATATACTTGAAATATGGCTTGAATTCTTTCAGTCTGTGATGTGATTTAGTAATGAAGCACATAATTTTTTTGTGTGGAGAAAATATGCTCTAAAATTCGTAATCATTCCAATTATTTTAGTGTTTCGTCACAAACTCAGCAAATATTTGTTTCCATGCTCAGGACTGGATTCGGAATGGAAATGAATCATTACAAGAAGGCCAATGGCTTGAACAATTTTGAGAGATGCTGACTAGTGCAAGAAAAGTGTTGCATGTCAGTTGTTTTTCTTTTTAGTTTGTTTTGTTTTCTTACTATTCTTTTGAGTTCATTTTTGGTGCTTGGCCCAGGCTCTTTTTAACTCAGGGCTCACTCTCTTGTACTTTTTAGGTCAGATTAAAAAACAAAAAAAAGAAATCTCCTAGCTTCGATTTAATACATTTTTTTTTTGGTGTATTTGCATTTACTTGTTTGGAATAAATCGGTTTTGTTTTGGTTTAAAATATGGTTCGGTTTTCATATTGGTTTAAAAAAATGGTTTAGTTCCTAACTGATTAAGAAAAATGTGATTGTTTATGGTTTGGTTCAGTGTAGCTCATAATTCGGTTCAGCTAATGTGATTATTTTCGCAACTGATAAAGTTCGCTTACATTGAATTCGGTTTATCAAGTTATACCTTGTGGTTTTTGATACCATCCCAATCACAATCATGCACTGTTTACTGTTTAGGTAGAAAGAATATTAAAAAAAAAAATATTGATAGAGGGAAATATAACATTAAATATAAAATTATTAATGCATTTTTACTTAACAATTTAAGTTTTTATGTTGGAATAATTTTTTTTTATGATAACAATCTCTATGATTATATAGTTTATTAATAAATAATTAAATATTGAGTTTCTTATACTGAATAGGTGAATTTGGGAATGCTTCATCCTTTAGTTCAATGAACTTTTGTACGAAGGAATAATATAATATGAAATATAAAAGGTTCAGGATCATTTTACATCTGTGTAAGTTACACTCTCAATCTTGTCCACTGATCTCACTTATATTCAAGGACTCAAATTTTTTAGTAATGTGAGTCATTGAATTTAAGTGAATCAATTGTCAAGATTGAGTGTAAGATTTTTAACTCTTACACCGGTGTAAAAATATCCTGTCCCAATATAAAGTTGTTAATGTAATTTTTTTAATAGTTTAAATTTTTGTTTTGGGTATTGAAATGGTTATTTTAAAAAAGAGATATTGATACTTTCTATTCCCTCGAAGTCCCTTCGGCCAATCAAGCCATTAGATAGGCTCTTCCTTATTGTGTCATAATATCATTTGTAAGGTGCATTTATACGTCGCTAACTAGTGAAAGTTGCGGATGAAAATGATTAAGAAATTACAAATGTCGGTAAAAAAATTAAAATATTATACTTTTAATAATTAATTACGAATTAAGCGTGACTCCCAAGACATTCACGCCTAATTTAGGTGTGAATCATCTGGTGTTGACACATGGCAAAAAAATCAATTTATGAACTGTAAAACTTTGAAAAGCCATAACTTTTGACTCGGGTATCCGAATGAGGTAATTCTTTTTTTGATCCACATAACTTTTTGTGATCTACGCAATGACATCTCATTTGATATATTTTATCTCTCACAAACACAATTCAAATTTGCAATAATTGTATTATATAGTGTACTACCAAAAAAAATTAAAAATTATTATTAAAAAGAAAAACAAAATAAAAATTTAATTTGTGATTTAAACTCAAAAATAAATTTAAAAAATCTGTATTAATAAAGAAAATAATTAAATAAATATTCTAAACACTTGGTAGAATATTATATAAATTTGTATATATTTTAATAATTAAATAAATAACCTTGTACACTATTTTTTTTGAAACACTTGGTAGAGGCAAAAAAATTTAAAATATTGCTTTTTTAATAAATAATTACGAATAAGTTGCCGTCTTGAACCTAATTACGAATATATCGCACTCATTCACGTCCAATAATGGTACTATAACGTTAAATTCAAAATTCAAATAACCTCCAATAAGTTAATTGCATTTTGTATTTAATAGGAGTTCATTGTGTTTTATATTTAATAGGAGCTGATTGCGTTGTAATTTTAAGGGTTGGTTACAGATTGTCGCCAATTCAAATAAATTTGTTGGTGGTTATTTGAATTTTGAATTTAATATTAAAGGAGTTAATTGCGTTTTGTATTTAATAGGAACTGATTGCGTTTTGTATTTAATATGAAATTTGGTGCCATCTTATTTATAGATGAGTTAATCCATTTTGGTGCCATCTTTATAGTATCATTGTTGTAAATTTGAATTGTGTTTGTGAGAGATAAAATATATCAAATCAGATGTCATTGCGTAAATCTCGAAAAGTTATGTGGAATCAAAAAAAGAATTACCTCATTTGAATACCCGAGTCAAAAGTTATGGTCTTATAAAGTTTTACGATTAAACTTTTAATTTTTTTGTGCCACGTGTCAACACTAGACGAGTCATGCCTAATTTAGGCGTGAATGCCTTGAAAGTCACGCCTAATTTGGGCGTGAATGACTACAATAAATTCGAAAATAATTTCCAAACTGCTAACAATTCGTAATTAATTATTAAAAGTGTAATATTTTATTTTTTTTTCCCTACAAATGTGTGGTAAGTTTATATTATCCTAAATTTAAATCAATATTTTCAACTGGAGAACTTTCCCATTAGCAATCAGGTTACAATTAGGTCAAACATGAAAAATCTTTAGAAATTAAAATTTACCTAACTATGAGTTCAGATCTCTGTTATACAATAATAATAATAATAATAATAATAATAATAATACACAAAAGCTTGCCAATTTTACGAGAATAGAAACAAGAATTGATGTACACAGCCTTACCCTTACATTTATGCAAAAGAGACTATTTTCTATACTCGAGCTCATTGCGTTCCTCAATCAGCAGGGAGCAATAATAATATTACAACACAAGCTTATAGTAAACAGCAACTTCTCAGAGTTAGCAGACTTTTACCAGTATTCCCTCTTTGGTTGGAGTCTTCCATGCATGTCTTTGCTTCTTGACATTTGCTTGGCAAATATATGGTTTTGGGTAGACCCCTCATGGAAGCAAAGTCATCAACCAGGATATGGATTCTCTTGAGAATCTCTCTCAACTCTCAAGATGCTGATTTAAGTCCATGTTATCATATCATTTGGCTGAAATTTTGTTACAACAAATACACAGATGTTACATAATCTCCTAAGAGTTGCTATCACTCTCCTATAAACTAATACCTATAATACAAAGTATGCTGGTGATCAATGGTGGTTAATTGATTGGTTATCCTCTTGGATATGAGGGCAAGGCCTTTCTGGTTCCCCTCTTGTCCATAAAATCTTGAGCTCTCCTCTCTTTTTCCCCAGTGACAAAAAGGTGCCTGCATTTATGATTATAGATTAAGGTTTCAGAAACTGGACCAGTTTTCATGTCATGCAGTAACCAAATGTGTGTTATGTCACTTGGGTTGTGATAACAATAGTTTTATCAATACTAGCTTTCCATCATAGGCATTTGTACTTACCAAGTGTAAATGGGACTATATAAAGCAAAGCTGGTTGGCCATGTCCATCCATCAAATTCAAAGCCACATATGTAACGAGGAGACCTGCAGAAAAGAGCAATCCAATAGTTATCTCCATATGTGAAGATCGGAATATAAGTAAGAAGCAGCAGATTACAGTATAGTTCTTGGAAGTCATTAAATCAATTGCTTTTTTATTAATGCTAGACAATATATTGTATACTTATTAAATTGCATAGTGCACGCATAGGCCTAATGCATTATAAAAATTTGGAAAAAATGTTTCTCATATCACAATAGATAAAATTATCTCTCGTGCAATCCAAAAATGACTTTGAGGAAAAAAATAAAGTGCATTTAGGGAGTTTTGCTTTTCTCTTACAGCATGAATTTTCCTAAAATGCAGTGTATTTTTTTTTCCTAAACCCCAAAATGGCATCGTTTTGGGGTTAAAGAAAATAACTATATTTCCTATGACATGAGAAACACTAAACCCTTCAAATTTACTATAATAGAGATAAACGTCTACTTTAAACCCTTCCCCCATTCCGGTACGATCCAAAGTCCACTAACTTGACAAGTTTGCAATGACATGTTATTTCTTCTCCAGGAGAGATAAAACCACAACCTTCGATTTTCCATAGTTAGATTATTAGAAAATTACCCCTACCCTCATTAGTCAAATTTTAATTGGGAGTGTTTTTTTTTAGATTATTAGAAAATTATTGCTGAGTAGCCTAGTATATAATATTTCTTTCCATTTTTTTGGTACATAGTATATAATATTTCAGGCATACCAGCTAACAGGTGCAAAGATTTTCACATTTTATCAATTGAAAACTAACACCAGATCAAACATATCATACCTAAACCATAAGCAGCCATTGCCCACAAGAAGTATCCAGCCCGAAGATTCTTCTTTGCCAACCAATCATACCTGTAAAGTTATCAATGGGATAATCAAGTTCATGAGCTGTTAACATGATACAAGCCATTCTCTCCTCTGCCTAAAACATTTTTACAAGGAGATAAGGTGTTGTTGTATTTTATCACAAAGTGAACATTAGTAATACAGAGAACATAAATAGGGGAGGGATATATTGTCTGATCCATATATGACTTCCAGTTCAACCTTAGTGAAAATGCTACTAGAAGCCCTGGTAAGATTATGTCCCCAAAACCAATAATGCTGTAACCACCCCAAGGATCAAACAAACGCGGTATCTTGAGTAACATGGGGATACCATCTTCTCCACTCTTGTCACCTCGAGCTACCTGTATAGAGAAAGTGTTACATTAATTCAAGGGGGGAAATAACATCATGTTTATGAGGCGAAAAACAATCTTTGTAAAGAACAGCAGAGGAGGGAGAGCTTTCTATAAAACACTTACCACTATCATCACACTCTCATGGAACCACCATTTAGAGACGAACACCCAGAAGATGTCATATAGGAAGGCACAACTGAGAAGAACAGTTCCAACCTGATACAGAGGAAAAAGTATTTTAGTGTCTTTGTTCATAATAAAAGTTCACCAGTATCCAGCAAAGCTATCTCTTCAACGGTTTGTCGGTTTGGCTGTATATAAATGCCCCATGTATGCCTCCTACCCTTAAATTCAAGAGTATCACAAACAAAGTAAATGAGGAGATAGTGCCAAAGAAAGTTTTTTAAAAATCAAAGACACTGGAACAAAAAATTAACTATGAATCATTACCTTGAGATTTGGTATGCGAACAATCTGAAGAACTGTAATTATCAATGTGATACCCTGAATGACATGAGGTAGAAAAGGAAAAGTAATTATGATACTGAATATTAGTTAGTCTCTTAATTTCTTGGAAGTTTACAAGGTTGCCATTCAGCAAATCAAGTTTTATACTACAAAAGCTTACAGGCTTAAAGGAGGAGTGTCAATAATAACTTAAAAGAAATCATAAATTGAAGAACTTCAATTTCTATTCTAAACTATATTAGAAGGGAACACATTATCAAGAAAAATATATTATTAAGTGATAAGAGAGGAAAACATGATGGACGTGAAACAGAGAAATAATAACAAACATGGAAATTAAAACTAACAGTGGCTATAACAAGGGCCAAGAACAATCTCCAACCATGTTGCGCTTACAATTCATGTGCAATGTAAATTTTGGTCTTCACTAACAGCCTAATTTGTTATATACAAAGCAGAGATTAGGAATTTGATCTTGTTCTTAACAGTTTTTCAGTTGACCAATAGCAAAATAATGCACTCTTTGATTCTTAGATTGTGACACCTCATCTAACGGATAAAACAAATGCAATAAGTAATTACTTATTGGTTCTCAAACCACAGTAATACATTACAAGACAAGAATGTAGTATCCTATAAATCATTGTTTTAGTTACAGTCATAGGAAGAGTATCAGATTCCAAGTTAGTTTAAGAACATTTTCAGTTTTATACTAGTGACGTTCCAAAGATCGAAAAGCAAAATCTATGATATGTAGCAAGCATGTTTCTTATGAATGTATCACAATTTTCTATATTGTAACCAGGAATGCCAGGCGATCCAGACCATAGAAAAAAAAAATAGAAGAAAAATTACGGAAATTTTTTAACCAAAACATAAAGTGAAAGTAATAGAACTATTCTTACGAGAATATCTTGACCAATCCAAGCACACGATGCACGGCGATAAACTGCCCAAACCACGGCAAACACAATGCAGAAGGGAGTGAGGGCAAGTGTTAGATATGAAACAGCTCCAAAGAAGGGTATCTTCACAAATGTTTGTGCAGGATGTTGAAACCATCTGAAACTATAAGCATTTTGCTGTCAATTCCATATTGAAACAAAGGAATATAATAAAATAAACCATGTACATTACAGCCCAAAACTTCAAGCTGAAGTCATTTCTTTTTTCAAATAATATTGATTTATTGTAATGTTGACATTAAAAGAAAGCAGGAAAAACCTTTGCTTAAGTAAAAATTATGTAAAATACATGTTTGAGCGATATTTACTGTGAGCTATATGTGTGTCTTGCTACATTTGGTCTCTTTACCTCTTCAATGCTATATTTTTCAGGAAATAGGTATATAAAAAAATAAAATAAAATTGACAGCTAAGTCAATTTATTCTCACCCTAATTTGCCACCATTTATATCCACAATAATCAAATCAGTAAATAACAATTTAAGAACATAAATAATGTATGCACCACCAAACGATCTTTGGGTCATAACTAATGTAGCCTTACTTCTCTTTTAGTTACATTGGAATTGTTAATTATTAAAAGCACAAGATATATAACTCAACGTGTCAACCACAATCATAACCAAAGAAAAGTCAGCAGATTATTAATCAAATCCTACACTCACTCACTCACCTTCCTTCGTGGATAAAAGACTTACCATGATAATAGAGCCACCAAACAAGTTTGCAGTCCCTGAAAGCACATAAAGAATATAAAGGATTAGCTGCTATATGACAACAAAATCATGCTGCACTCCTATGTTCCAAGTAAATACTGATGCAAAGATTACTAAACGAATCATGATCGTGAGTGAAAAATTTAAAGTGCTGATCTACATAACAAAAATAATAATGTCAATCAACCTAAGAGAATTCATAATTATATGTACTGGTGTTATAGAATGTCATATGTGGGTATATTATTATTTCTGTGCTTAGCTTCAGTCTTGTATAAATTCTGTTGTAACAAACTTCAACTACCATCTTTCTTTCTTTTCCCCCCTAAAATCCCTATTTTGCTTTCATTACGACTAAAAAGAGAGGAGAAATTTGTCGTTAAAAATTAACCACATGGGACACCCCTTACAACCCAAGATATTGTGCGTGTCTTAAAGAAGATTCAAAATAATGATGATTGATGAGAAAAGAATGGTAATCTGGTTAATCAGTAAATTGATTATAATCTAGATTAGAGGAAGGGATAAACTATAATCAAGAATAACTAACCTCTACCCCACCAACACAAAATAGAACCACCAGAACTTCAACGAACCAGTATGACATTAGTTTGTACAGCATAACCAAGAAACAAGAAGCAATCACAACAAATAAAATTGCTGATGCAGTACTGATTTCCACATAACCACTGGATCCAACATTTTCTGTATTAACATATTCATCTGAAGCATCCTGCAAGTGTAAAAGTTTTCCACATATTAGTAACTAGATTAATTAATTTTTAAGTATGAGGGAAAATATTCTGTTGTAAATATGGAAGATATCTGTCATTATTTGTTTCTTTTAGTAGCCAGATTATGTTTTCTTATTTTTTAGGATGTGGGTTTATTCCTTTAGGCCGTTAGTCTCTCTCTATATATATATCGTATTCCTTTGTACATGTTTTTTTAAGAATCAACAATATTATATAGTTTTTTTCCTTTCATGTTATTCCTTTATAAAATTTGCTGACATTAAAAGAGAATAGACTCCTGTTTTAAAGAGCCCCATGACAGATAGCAAAGGACGCAAAAGCCTTATTGTTTTAATGAGTTTGTCTTTTCAGCGTTTTTTGTTTGTTCCTTCTAAGTTAAGGAGGATACCTTAACTTCCTTATTTTTGTATTCTTTCTTTCGTCACTATATTAGTATTACTCCTTTTATCAGAGAGAGAGAAATTGGCACGAAAAGGAACAAGGTAACCTTTAAAAGCTTCTCTTGCTCAATCGCTGCTTCTCTGGCTGTCCAGGCAGACCAATAAGAAGCACATAAAATGGTACCAACAGCCATAAGCCACAAAAACACTTCCGCAACATCAACCAAGGGACGCAGTGGAGAGTATAATTGCATGGACACTTAAGAGCAGGAATTGTACATGCAAAAGTGCCAAGGATATCAAGTAAGACACAAGACCAAATCAGATCTCAAAACATAAAGTATTCATTTTATAAAATCAAATTGTCCCGTGCCAAAGAAAAGCCATATCTAATTACACAATAAGAGAGAGCGCGCGGAGAAAGTCAATCGTACCAATGGAGTTGTTTTTTATATGCTTTTCCAAGTTTAATCCAGCATCTTGTGGAAGCATGACAACAGGTATTCTAATATCAACATCAGTTTCATTTTCTTCGCAAACCATCTTGAAAAGTTCTGCACAGTAAGGACATTCAGTAGCTGCATATTGCAAATTTCTTTGTTTACTCTACTAACAAATAATGAACCAAATTTTTTAGCATTCTCAGCAACTATCATCCCAAAGATCACCTCTAACTGTAAAATCACTAATGGACAAATGAAAAACAAAATAGACTACGAGATATCAAAAAGCATTTTTTCTTTGAAAAAAACAGACAAAAAACATTCAAACACCTGTTCGGTAATTTATAATGAGGATGGCTGAAGCACCGGCATCATCAGCTATATTTGCCTTGTCGGTGAAACTACAGTTTCCTCGGTGAACCAAAATGATCTCACTGGTGAGCTAACAATAGTGAAAAGCAATAGAAATTACAAATTAATAAATATTTTAAAAAAACTAGAGCTTTCAATCTGGACAATTGTGTTCCACATCCAGGTAAAGTTGCATTTGGTAAGTCCTATAGCTTAAATATTAATTCAAATACCTTATTCTTAGGCGTGCTACAACAATCAGGAGGATCAGCCATGACAACTCTAGAAAGATTGGCATGTTTTTCTTTCGATTCCAATGTAGGACCAAATCTTGCACCAACACCAACATATTCACTGTTTTCCACACCATCAATCCAAGTGGGGACTTTGACCTAACAAAAGAGAAAAAATTGGTCAAAGCTGTTAAAGAAACACCAATACATATATATATCTGCCTATACACAATTTAAGAAAATAACAATAGGTCACAAAGGAGTTTTCTGAAAACCATGAAGACAGAAGCTAAAAGATTTGCAAATTTCGTTTTTGAGAGTCAATTCATAAAATATAATGTTCCCAATCAGCTGGCTACCATCACCTTGTTCTTACTCAAATTTTGGAAAAAAATAAATAATCTTTTCACTACTAAGTAGACCATCTAAGAAGGTTAATCAACAAAAAAGAGGCACAGAATTACAAAATTTTTACAGGGACATATAAAGGGAGAAAGCATTTGGAGAAAAATATAAACAAATTCAGGTCTTTGAGTAGAATCTAGAAAACAAATCCACCTACATCGACCTCAAGTGCCAAAGATGCAAGTTTCCATGATAACAATCATAGGCAGAAGAAAAATAAAAGTGATAATGAAATCAAATATATCATATAAAATATATTTTACAAAGCTAGCATGCTAAAAAAGCATAACAAACGTAGATCACTCTATTGCAAAAGCTAGAAACACACCACCTATGTGATGATAACGAGGCAAAAAATAATAACAACAGCATACTATTAAGCATGGAAGTATGGTATCTAAAAAAACAAGTCTATTAACAATTTAACATGCAACCTTAACAGAATCACTTCAATATCACCACAGTTTTCTCTCCTTATAACTCCATTTTGTTAAAAAAAAAAAGCAGAAAAAAAGACAATTTTAATTGAACATATACCACTCATCTTTGAAAACTGAAAGCTCAAATCAAATACCAAAAATATTATTTTAAAAAAAAAAAAAACCCACCCAACTCTCCAAATCAAGCAGCTTCACTACAAGCTAAGCATCAAGGCCAAGATCAAAACCAGTAAGAATACCATTTCTAAACTAGTTTTGCAATTCATGTGAATAATGAAAAAAATCTGGTACCAGAACAAAGTTGTTTTCACAACCAGGCCTTGTGGGGGCAACATCATCATGATGAACTATATCCCCAGCCAAAACCAAAGTGACAGCAAGAAGGAACACATAGGACATAACAGTATATATAGCTCCAAGTAAAGCCATGTTAAGAACTGAGATTCTTGATGGAAAATTGAGAGAGAAACAAAAGGGTTATTAGAAAAAGCATAAAAGAAAATTTATTTGGAGAGAAAACAAGGAGGGTACGGAGGAATTGTGTAGGAGCAAGTGGCGGTGGACAGAGAGAGAGAGAGAGAGAGGGGAACATATTTAATAAAATTATTATTGTTATTTTGTTTTCTTAGTTTTTGTTTTGTCGTTTGTAGAACTGAGAAAAACAGTTCACGGTAACTATTGAACCAGAATTTACGGTGTTATGTTGATAGTTCACAGTTTGGTGTGACAGCCACGTGTTTTTTTTTTTTTTTTTTTTTTTCTGTACTGTGATTCACACTTTGCAATTGGCACATGGCTAAAGTTAATTGCTGCGTTACTTTTTAATGCACGGTGTAAAATGATTTTAATTAATTATTATTGTAGTCAATAAACGTATTTCTCCTACGGTTTTATTGTAGTCAATAATATTGTAGACAGAGATCATGGAGGGGTCCACTAAAAAATTAAATAAAACAATATTAAAAACAATGAAATTTTTGATGTATCTACCGGAAAGGAAATAACTCCTCCTGAAGTGGAAAGAGAAGCTAATATCTCATAAACTATTTTCGTAATGTGATAAATAAAGGTTGGAAAAAATTATTTTATATCACCCATTATAATTATATATTTTGAGAATTATATAATTATAATATTAAAATTATTTTTTTAAGATATTTTTAATCAATTCATCGCTTTGAAACTAATTTAATTCAGGACGAGTTTCGAAATTAAGATTCTAAATCCATTTTAAATACAATATTGAGAAAAATCGAACACTCTCACCCTCCACGTCTCAAATTTCTGATGCCAACTGAGCTACGATTATTAGAAGTACATAGTTATTAAAGGTACTTCTTTTTCTCTTCAAAATTTATTGGCTGACTTGGAGTATATATTTATAGGGTTCGCTTTTTCTGTAGTTATTGCAGATAAGTTATCTACAATAAGCCTAATACGACATCGTTTTGAGGCGGAAATCATGGTGTTTTTATAATTTTAATTTATTTCAGGGTTATTATAATCTTTATAATTATAATTTTTTAATATTTCAATTCAAAAATGACATCGTTTTGGAAGTAAATGCAGATAATTTATCTGCAGTACAAAAATATTTTTCTCATAATTATAATAGATGCGATAATTTTTTCTAACAACATAAGAAAAAAAAATCCATAAAATAAATAAATATAATTAATGTAAACTATGGCGTAGTTTATTCAATTATCAGCATAAATCAGTTGTAGTTGTTTCTTTTTAGAAAACTTGAATAATAAAGACATAACTCACAATAGAATACATACTTTTTCACTTAATTAATATTTTTAAGTGAAAAATTTGATATTGTTGTTGGTGAATAGAAAAAGTATGAGATTATTTCAGCTTAATTAATATTTTTAAGTTCAAGTCTGATATATATATATATATATATATATATATATTATTGTATTAAAAATTGATAATTTTTTTTATTATCCTTATATCCATTTCGATTTGATCAAATTAATTAATTAATTGATAAAATATTGAATAAATAAAAAAATGTTTCACTAACCATTAGGGTATAAATGGGCTAGATCGGCCTACAGAGATCTACGGCCTAGCTTATATTAGATCAGACTTAGCCCTATTACAAATAGTTAAATAGAATAGACTCAAACTTTTAAAAAAACCTATTTAGAAAGCATGCCAAGAGTTTTAGGGTTCATTATTTTTATAGTCAATGTAGATAAGTTATCTACATTGAGCCCAAAACGATATCGTTTTGAGACGAAAATCAAGATATTTTTGTAATTATAATTTATTTCAGGGTTATAATAGTCTTTCTTATTATAATATTTTAATTTTTTAACCAAAAATGACGTCGTTTTGAGAGTGAATATAGACAATTTATCTACATTCACTATAGAAACATTAAAGCCTAAATTTTATTATACATGTTATCCCTATAAATCTAAAAGCCGGCTAATACCATATCATTTATTTCAAATAAAATAAATAAATTTATTTAATAATTTTAAATAATAAAATAATATTAATTTAATTATTTTTTTAATTATTGAATGTTTAATAAGGTTAAACAAACTAACAAGCTTAAACCATAACTTTTATTTTTTGAATATAGATAATCTCATAATCAATAATTTAAGCTACAAGTTAATAGACAAGATCATGCCTAAATTTTTTTGCCCACAAACTCAATGTATTAAAATCAAAACTTAATCTACCCTAACCTATTTACACACCACTGTCACCATCTTCACACGCATGCATCATATAGAATGTATAATATTCTATTTCTAACTTTGACAGGAAACAACAAATGTATCAACGTTTAATTATTCTGCCACCGTACAGTGGTCCTTCCACTTGCCACACCGTACACTACAAATTAATGTTTTAAAATTCTAATTCAAAGTTTGAATTGAGAAAACATCTGGGTCAATTTAATTTTTTATTATACATACTGGGTCAATTTAATTAATTTAATCAATTAACTGTTTGTTTGTGGGGTTTTGAAATAAAAATGTGTTTATTATATTTTATAATTATTATTTAAATAATAAACATATAAAATTTATTTTATTATTTATTATAAGTTAATTTCTAAAAATTAAAAAATTGTATCATAAAATTATTTTATCCTCAACCATAATCGAATCCAAATTTTTTGGATTAAAAATAATTAATTTATATTTCAGTCAGTTTAATTAACTGATCTATTAATATGATTTTAAAACATTGTTTAAAACTTCTAATTAACATGATTTAGCTGGCAAGTAGCAGAAACATTTAAATAAAAAATACTGAGGCACATAGTGAAATATTTAAATAAAAAAAAATATTCCAACCAATGACACATGCACCACTACCACCACGATTGTGGAATCACACGTGTACAGTTGCACGTGTGTGGGTCCCAATTGGAATTTAGCCCAATTGTTCATAAGATAGGCCTCAGCCCACTAGGGCTCTTGAGTTTCACCCAAAGAGAAAATAATAAAAAAGTACTTTATTTTGTGCTTTTCTTTTTCTCCCCAAATGATTATTTATGTGGTTTATTATTCACACTTAATCGTGGAATTTATTATTTCCTTCACAAATGATTTCACCCTAAAATTGGCTTATTAAAAAAAAAAAGACTTGAAACCTGTTCAATTTTATTTTATTAATTTTTTAAAAATTTCTTCTCAGGTTCATAATTACTCAACTTATCCAGTTGGAGTTCAACATGCAAAGCAAATGAAGAAGTCAATGCTAAAAGTCTCAAATGAAGTTAAAAGACTATTACACTTATTACAATTCACCGCCCTTTTGTGGATTTAAATCATTCTTTGTTTAACAAACTGTACTCAAGACTCGAACTCAAGATCACTAATTAACTGTAAACAAACCCGTACCATTTGGATCAGATTCTTGCAAATCCCCGTTATGTATTCTACTTTTAATAATTCATTCAAGCAGGACATCAGCAAAGGAGAAACACATTACTACATTTAAAAGATTCTTATTGAATTTACATATCATTTTTTTTTGGTGATCTGAATTTACATATCATTAATTACATATCAACTTGGTATAGTCCTTTTTCTCAGGATTAGCAACGCCATTGCCCTGCCAAATATAACTAACTACACAAAATACATATTTGTCATATGTACATCATATGCTGCTTGTTTACAATGACTGAAGATACACAAACACATAAGTATCTAACCTATACAACATGACGATTATAAACTGCGTCTCCTAGAAACTTATAAACAGGCAATCCTACAGTTTAATCAAAAAGGGAAGATTAAAAATGACAAGCTTGATCAGTGACTTTGAAGCCAATCCTGGATTGCAATGCGAATAGCATGGTTGGGAACAAGATTGTGATGTGCAAGCTTAGAATTTGTCCTTGGTGAAGTGTCATTACCATTGTTTAGCCATTCTTGTATAGCCTCAGCTTCATAAGAAAAACCATCTGCAGCCACATGTGGATCTCTCATGACTTCCTGCAAAGTAGGAAACATAATGGGGGGGAGAACTAAATTAGATAACTGTTTTCTATTCAAAGCTCTATGATTCACTGATCCATTAATTTGGAAAATCGTTGTACAAATGTAGCTAAAAAGATATATAAAAAATACAACATTGGGAATAGGTAACTATGAACTAATGCAGAAAAGGGTATCACATAAATGTAGTGTTGACATTACATAACAAGAAGCAAACCCTATGGAACAAAACTTTGATTAAATTTTCATTGAAAATTGACCATTGGGATGCTAAAAGATCATAGTTTTTGAAGTGTTCATTGTTCCAAGAGATCCTAAAAGATCATGAGGATATATACCTGTAAGATTGGACAAATAAAATATGGAGGAATTTGGCAGACCCCTTGAGAACCTAGTCCAAAGGTGTTTGTGCCTCCAGAAGAAGCCCTTATTGGTTCAAGTATCCTCCAAACATCTGAATGAAGTTCTGGCCTGCTCTTTCTATCAATCTCACAACACCTCAAAGCCAAGCGAGTCAACTTCTCAGCTTGCTCAAATGGCCAGTCTCCAGCCAAAGGATCCAAGAGAGATTTCAACTTTCCGGCATCGAATGCACACTGCACTTCCTTTTTTAATCCCAAGCCTGGTTTCCCAGTCAACAATTCTAATAGTATGATTCCAAAAGAGTAAACATCTGACTTTGGAGTAAGTTCACATGTAGAAAGGAATTCAGGATCCATGTAGACAAAAGATCCCTTTGGATCAGTTATCCAAAACTGTGTAGTATTGTTAGCAGCACTCTCTTGACAAGATAATACACGACAGATTCCAAAATCGCTAAGCTTACTAACAAGGTTTGCATCAAGGAGGATGTTGGAGGGTTTTAAGTCACCATGCACTATGCTGTGAGGTTTACTGGCATGGAGAAAAATGAGAGCAGAACATAGTTCTGCAGCAATGCGAATACGAGTTTGCCATGATAATGGAGGTGTATTATCCTTGCAGCTGAGACGATCTTCAAGGTTTCCATTGGGTAGATACTCGTAGACAAGAGTCCATGATTCTGGGCAGGCTCCTATAAGTGTGATAATATTGGGATGCCTTAACTTGCTCAATATCTTAACCTGATACAAAACCATAAATTTGGGTCAAAATATATACTTGTTTCACTACAAATCTGGACAAGTTACATTTCATAGCTGCACGCGTAACAACTTACACATTACAACCAACTTACGATATTTCAAGGGGAATGTTATACTTATCACTATTTTAGGCTTACCACTCTTATTACCTGTTTGGTTGTCGTCCAACAATAACCAAATGGGTAGTAAGAGTGGTAAGCCTAAAATGATGATAAGTATAATTGCTCCCATATTTCTGATTGTAAACACTACCAGCTAAAATCGACTATTGTTGACCAAAATTGGATGATGTTGAAAATATCAAACAAAACTCAAACCATCCTACCTCCTGTTGAAACTCCGAGGGTCCTTGCTTGCTCTTGGGGTCCAACGTTTTTATAGCCACCTCCGTGCGACACAGGATACCTTTAAATATACTTCCATATCCACCTTCTCCAATCTTTAGGGATGGATCGAAGTTACTTGTTGCTTCTTTGATCTCTGGAAAAGAGAATTCTGAGAAGAGTTGAAGAAAATGTGTGCTTGAGGCCTCTCCTTGTTTACTCTTTAACTCCTCAGCCTCTCTCAAAGCATTATCTCGCTGCATTTTCAAATCATCTAGTTCATTCTTGTAGTTTTGTAATAGATCTGCATCAGATGTCATTTTCTCCTCCAACTCCTTTATCATAAGTTCAGTTGATTCAATTTGATTTTCCAGTGATGACTTCTGATCCAGTGCAAGTCGGAGTTCCTCATTAACTTTGTCTCTTATGCTCCTCATATTATCAAGTTGTTCTTTTGCTTTCTCTAATTCTTCCTCCAACTCTTTCCTTAGTCTCAGCTCTTCTTTATACAAGACTTCACTGGCTTTAGCCTGTCAATTGGGTGGTTCAAACATCATGGTTAAGGTTAACTCATACAGCCTCCACTTTCTTATTTAACACTTCAGATTTAATAAATGCTTTACCACTTACAATAATTTAAAAGCAAGAAAACTGGATAAAACAATTAGAATTAACAATTCACATCATAAACGTGATGTGAATTAACAAGAAGAACTCAACAAAAGAATAGTTACCCTGCGTATAGCATCAATGGCATTTTTTTGAGCTATCCCACTCGTAACAGTTTCTTGATATGCGTCCCGCCTAGCATTCTCAGCCTCAGCCATAGCTTGTTCAAGTTGATCATAGAGAGTATCATCCATTCCCCCATCCTGTTAGAGTATCATCAATGGCATTCAGACTCTATTAATCATTGCAAATTTACAAATTAAAAATGCCAGTCCATCAATTGCTAAAACTCAACAAGAAACAAGCACATGCCCCACAGCAGACACAAAAATTCTGAAAGAGGAAAAAGTATGTGTACCAATACACTAGGAGGTGATGAGTGATGAAGATCCTCTTTAATCAGAGAAAGGCCACTCAAACTCAAGTCTAACACATTCTCACTGCCTTCACTAATCAAATATGTGGTCAATGCTGATTCAACTGAAGCACTATCAGAGCACACTGAGAAAACTGAAGAACTCCATCTTGATAACCCATCTGACTCATCAGAACATACTTCTCTACTCAACCTGTTCTCTAGAGTTGCAAACCCTTCCGGAGAAACAGCTGCAATGCTCCTTCCATATCTATCATTGATAGACCTTACTCTACTTATTAACATTTGAGCTGGACTAGTTAGTTTCACCCAATGATTTTGCCCAAATGTAATAGATTGAGATTGCCGACCCTGACTAGTTTGGGATACTGGCGATATTGATGTTGATGTTGATGTAATAGAACCCGAATTTGGCATTTGATGCACCAAAGTAGACATGACCTCAACATTACCTCTATACAAAATGCAATCCCTGAGTTGATGTGGTATTTATATCAGAACCAGAGATAACATAACAAAGTGCAATGACATTATTATTGGCAAAGTGCAGAAAATGATACAAGTTCAAAGAAAAACAAAAAACAAGAAACAAGGTTTGAGAAATTATTAAGTATAGAACTCAGTATTCCTAGCTAGGCAACTAGGAAGCTTCATCCAAAGTTGCATTTATCATAATGTGACAGACACTATATCTATATCCCTTGTACATAACATAAGTATTCATAAAGTAACATACCTTGTGTGTATAAGGTTCCCTTTGCAGATATATTGTATATTACAAGAAGGTGGAGCTTGTTTACATACATAGATGGCTTTCTTAGATCTGATGTCTGTCATTCTCCTGCAATGTCATGCAAATGAAGCTCATTGAAAACATTATACTACTTACTTCACCATAACTCAGGAAAATATTCAACCTATTCAACGCAGGTGAAGTTGACATTAATAGAGACAAAATATCTACAGCTATCACATAAAACGATGGGACCCACCAACTTAATTTTTTTTTGTTGGATTACAATGGTAATCGAACACTACACTACATACACCTAACCCAAATCCCACGTCACTAGGCTAACCCCAGTGGTTAGCCAACATGACTTTTAATATATCTGTAATAGGGATTTTGTGAGCTGTAACATGATATTCATTTACCCCATAGTTTTATCATCAGAATTTATGGTCCATGGTCCATTTGAAAAGCTCCAAACCCCAAACAGATAATATGGTAAATTAATGTGTTGGTGAAACGCACCTTATTACTAAGGAAAAAAAGAAGATTTGTTTCGAAAGCTTCCCCGAGAGAGAAGCTCATTTATTTTTCTCTCTCTCTTGTCATTCTCTGTTCTTCATATCCTGTTATGCAATTTTTTTATTTTTTATTTTCATTTGCTTCCTTCTCTCTCAGTTCCAAGGATCTTTTATAAAACTTTGATTAAACGTTAATGGGCTATCCATTCCTCTTTTTTTCTTAGGATATCCATATGCATGAGAACCTTTTCGGATTTTTTTTTTTAAATTTTTGTTACTGGGTACAAAAACGGATAAAAGTTGGCAAAATTTGGTTTATTTCTTTATTGTTCACGAGATGAATCGGTTTAATTTTTGTGTTGGCCAAGAAGAAAAAAGAATAAAAATTTTTACCACCACCATCATCCTAACAATCGCCGCCATTGTCGCCGCGGTCGTCGCCACGCATATCCTTAAAAGTGGATTTAGAGGTGATTTTCTATAGTTAGGGAAGGTGCTACAATGAGGAGTTGCTCCCTGCCCCTTAAAAATGCTTATATGAGAAATTTATCTTAAATCATGATCCAAAACTTTGAGAAATTTAGCCCAAAATCATATGAATGAGTTGTTTCATCTTAACCAGTGATTTCAAATTAGAGTATTAGTATATAGTTGTGTTAAAAATTTGATAGGAAGAGCCTTTATTTTTTATTATTAATTTATTTTTAAATAATTTTATAAAGTCTTGTCAAAATATTTTTTGGTATGAAGAGTTATGGGAAATAATTTAGCTTTAAGGGAATGATGATGATAATGACATATTTTATTGTTATTATTATTGTTTTATGAATTTTATTGTTGATTAATAATATATGTATGAGAAATAAATATTTTATATTATAATTGATTAATTATAATTTCATGTGTTATAGATTTTTATATAGTAAGATTATCATATTTATAATTGGTAATATTATTAATTATTTGAAAATGTCATTAAGAATTTAATCATGAAATGTTGAAATTGAAAGTACGAGAATTTTTAATGTTGGAAATGAATTCGATATGAATCAAGATTGATTTGTTAATATTTATATGGGATTTGTAATTGTTATGTTACAGGAAACTTATTGCATCACGCTATAGAGAGATTGAAAACCGTGTCTCAAATGTTTTGATTTTTTATTTTTTTTAAAAGCAATGAGACCCACGAATGTTGTCTCTGCAGCAAAATGAAATTCATTCGTGTTGCATTACATTTCGTAATCCCTATTTATATATACTATATTAAAATTTCGTTTAGTAGGAGTAAAGATGTGGCCAGCGGCGAAGCCAGCAAAAAATATTAGCCCATCACTTTTTCTATTTTGCATAGCTATCAAATTTTAGCTTCTACCCTTACCAAATTCTAAAAAACTTGAAAACTAACTAGGCTTCACTGTAAGTAGCCACACCTAATTATGTATATAGATACTTTATTCGAGCATAATAAAATCATTCATTATATGGAGTCACTATATATAAACAATTGTAACCCCCTTTCCCGTGAGGTAATATGATGTTACTTGATTTGAGAATGGAGAAATTTATTCATTAAATAAAGGGTTTTATATTTCTCATTCAACATGAGAATTGAATTCTCATGTTGTAGAGACAAAAAGTATGTGAGACCCGTATGTTAGAAAAAATTATGTGTAGGATCCATGTTGGCACGAAAATCGAAGTGTGTGTAAGAAAATTTAAATTCTCATGTTAAATGAGAATTATAAAACCCTTAAATAAAATCGCTCCTAGGGAAAAGGTCAACCTTAATGAGGTGAAACACCTCACTCGTGAAAACCCTTCACTAGTATATACTTTGCTTCTCTTCTGATTCATTGTGATTACTATTTTCTCATCGAGTTTGTGTGACTCATCTCTTTTCTATTCAGATCACTATGTAGCTAATGAACTTGCTGCTAGGAATTGCAATTATTATCTGTAACATTGTTTTGATAGGTGTAAGTAAGAACCGAATTTTTTTATTTCTATTTTTTTAAAAAGAGAGAGATAAGTATAAAGGGTGAAAAATAACTTCCCTCCCATGACCTTCCCTACCACCATAAACCATTGGTGTCTCTCGCTCCCTACTAACTCTATCACACTACCTAACACACCATACTTGTTCATCACTTCTTCTTTTCAAGGTTCTGACCTCAAGAAGAAACCACTTCCTCAATCCAATTTGCATGTCAATTCCCTACCCTTCTCTTTGGCCATAGACTACCAAAAAGGAAACCACCACATCAGTCTTATCTCTTCCTCTCATCTTCTTTAGTAGTGGACAACAATCACCAAGAATAAAGGTCATTTCCTCTCGAGTCTTCCTCGCTGATGCAGCTCGCTCCAGCGAGTATATATGCATCATATAACTTATCATGTAATCTTAGTTGTCAATATGATCAATATTTATCTGTTTTACTTGTTTAACTACTATTACCAGTGAAATGGAAGCAGCCACAACCTTTTAATTTTAAGACTTGGTGTTAGTTGTTAGTTGGTTAATTTTGTTATTTCTTTCTTGCAGTTACTTTCTTTACACGTATCAGCTATTAGTTGATGTATATAAGCTGATATTTGATACGTTTTACCTTCAATGAAAATACTATTCAGTTTGCATATTTCCTTTCTTCCTCTTGCTTCTTCTTTCTCCTTTCTTTCTTCTTCAACTTTAATATGGTATCAGAGCTCATTTTGGGGCTCTGGTAACCACTAGCTTCCGCACAAGAAATTTCTGTTATTGTAAATGGATTCTTCCTTACAAACCGCACCTTCCTCTCGATCATCTAGTCCTTTTTATGACTTTCAAACAAACCAGATAAACCCATATTTCTTGCATGCAAATGAAAACCCATCACTGGTGTTGGTATCCCCAGTTTTTGATGGCAGAAACTATCATACATGGGCAAGATCGATGAAGATGGCCTTGAAGTCAAAGAACAAATTAGGTTTGTAGACGGAACCTTTTCATCCCCATTAGAGGAATCTGATCCTCTGTTCTTGGCATGGGACAGATGTAATACCATGGTGCTATCTTGGTTGCATCGTTCCATTGCAGAGTCAATAATCCATTCGATTGTATGGATGGAGGTTGCGTCAGATGTGTGGAAAGATCTTGCTGAACGATTTTCCCAATCTGATGCATTTCGAATTGCAGACATTCAAGAAGATATGTATAAGCTGAATCAAGGAGCTGATACAGTTACTCAATTTTTTACCAAGCTCAAGACATTTTGGGACGAGTTGGATACATTACAACCGTTACCAAAGTGCAAGTGCATTCCCAATTGTGCATGTGGCTTGATGATGCAGACGCATGCAAGAAACAACAGAGAAAAGGATCACATCATTCGGTTTCTACGTGGTCTTAATGATAATGATCAGTTTGCTGGTGTTCGATCTCAGGTGATGTTAATGGATCCTTTTCCAAATATAAATAGAGTTTTTTTATCTAATTGTTCAACAGGAAAAACAGATTAATGTTGCAACAAAAGAAGATGTCAAAGTCTTCTTGAACACAAATGAACAAGCACAAACTCATGGTCAAGGATTCTTGAATAGAAATGAGCGACCACCCACTCGTGGTCAAGGCTCGTATAGAGGAAGAGGTTACCCAAGTTATGGGAGAGGAAGATCAGTGCCGGGAAAGGTGTGTACCCATTGTGGAAGGACAAACCACACAATTGAAACCTGTTTTGAAAAACATGGTTACCCTCCAGGCTATAGAGATAGAATAAACAGAAGAGCAAATTTGGCTGTCTGTGATTCTGATGATTTCTTTGAAAATCGTGGAAACTTGGATGAAGACAGAAAGCAATCCAATGAATCTTTTCATTTTACCAAAGACCAATATCACAGTCTGCTAGGTCTGCTTCAATTGCCACAAGAAGGTGGAACTCATTCTGCTCATGCTGTCCAAACCAATGCAGTATCTTCAAACACAGGTAAAAATAAATTCCAATGGATCCTTAATACAGGGGCTACTGATCACATAACCCACTGTTTTGAGTTGCTTTCTTGCCCCCAACAAATCAATCCTATCCCAATTAGCCTACCTAATGGTGACCAAGTCTTTGCCACACATTCTGGTAGCATATACCTATCATCCTTACTTGTGTTATCAAATGTCCTGTATGTTCCAAAGTTCTTTGTTAACCTTATTTCCATTACCAAATTGCTTCATGATTCAAACTGCCATGTCATTTTCAGATCACTAACATGTTCCATTGTGCAGAATACAACTGGGAGGATGATTGGCATTGCTAGTCAGTGTAACAACTTGTTCATACTTACACTACCAAATGACAATTCTGATAAAGAAAACCAGAATAAAAGCTGCAATAACACAGCAACTGATTCAACTATCTGGCATAGACGCTTTGGACATTGTTCTTCTTCAACATTACATAGCATGTCAAAGATTTTTCCTTTCATTTCTTGTAATTTTCAACCTGATGTTTGTGACATTTGTCATTACTCCAAACAAAAACGTTTGTCTTTTCCTTTAAGTACTTCTGTTTCTAAGTCATCTTTTGATATCATACACATGGATATATGGGGTCCTCATGCTGTTACCTCAATTCATGATCACAAATACTTTTTGACAATTGTAGATGATCATTCTCGATTCACTTGGGCAATGCCAATGAAAAATAAAGCTGCTACTCGATCACATATACACAACTTTGTTTCTTATGTTGAGACTCAATTTCATGCCAGTATTAAAGTAATTCGAACAGATAATGGTCCTGAATTTCTTTTGAAAGATTTTTACAATTCAAAAGGCATAATTCATCAAACATCATGTGTTGAGTGTCCTCAACAAAATGGTATTGTAGAACGTAAACACCAGCACTTGCTAAACACAGCTCGAGCATTATTCTTTGAATCTAATGTACCAAAAATCTACTGGTGTTATTGCATAACTCATGCTGCATATCTTATTAATCGGCTTGTTACTCATGTCCTCACCAATAAATCCCCTTATGAATGTCTATATGGCACTGTACCTTCACTTCTTCATCTTAAAGTATTTGGTTCCCTATGTTTTGTTTCCACTCTTACTCACAACCGTTCAAAGTTTGCAGCTCGTGCCAAGAAGTGTACTTTCCTTGGTTACAAACCAGGTACAAAAGGGTATGTTGTTCTTGATATGGAGTCAAATCTCATTTCCACATCTCGAAATGTTATTTTTTATGAGTCTCATTTTCCTTTTAAAGAGTCAAATAATTTTGAGAGTTATGTTCCCTTCTCCATTCAGTCATCTGATACTAATTATGATGGTATTCTTGACACAACTCCTCTGACCATTGATTCTTCTCATCCACTTCACCCATCTTCCATAGTCTCTGCTGATCACACTATACATGATCAGACTCCACATACAAATTGTATCCCAGTTGAACCTAGTCTTCGAAGATCCACAAGAACAAAGTCCAAGCCTCACTACTTAACAAAATTTCATTGTGGTTTGTCAAGTATAACAAGTGCCAATGCATCCTCAGGTTTGATTTCTGGTTCCCCTCACCCTTTATCCAATGTTCTTTCTTATGCTAAGTGCTCACCTTTTTACACAAGCTTCTGTAGCAATATTATCAGTGAAACAGAACCAGCCACCTATAAACAAGCAGCTCTTCTTCCTCATTGGCAAGAGGCTATGCAGAATGAAATACGAGCATTGGAGAGGAATAACACCTGGTCCATAGTTGAGCTACCTCCTCATAAGAAACCTATAGGCTGCAAGTGGATTTACAAGATTAAAAGAAAGCCAGATGGATCTGTTGATAGATATAAAGCACGCCTTGTTGCTAAAGGCTACACACAATGTGGAGGAATTGATTATTTTCAAACCTTTTCACCGGTTGCAAAGATGACCACAGTTCGTACTTTACTGGCTATAGCTGTAGCAAAGGATTGGCACTTGGAACAATTGGATGTAGATAATGCTTTTCTACATGGTGAACTTCATGAAGAGGTTTTTATGTCTCTTCCACCTGGTATCCAGTCTATAGTTCCTAATGCCACTTGCAAACTTCAAAAATCCCTCTATGGATTGAAGCAAGCAAGCAGGAAATGGAATGTTAAACTTACTCAATCACTTCAATTATTGGGATACAGTCAATCCATTGCAGACCATTCCTTATTTGTTCGACAGTCTTCTCATTCTTTTACAGCACTACTTGTTTATGTTGATGATGTAGTTCTGGCTGGTAATGATGCAACAAAAATTACACGAGTAAAGACTGCTCTTCACAATCAATTCCGAATTAAAGATCTTGGTCCCCTCAGATTTTTTTTGGGTTTGGAAGTTGCAAGATCTTCTCACGGCTTAGTTCTTAATCAGAGGAAGTATATCTTGGAGTTATTAACAGATTCTGGTCTTCTAGGAGCTAAGCCAGTTGCCACTCCTCTCAATGCTTCTGTTAAACTACAGCAGAATCAAGGTACTCCCTATTGTGATCCTTCTGCCTACAGAAGACTTGTTGGTAGGCTCCTTTACTTAACAACAACTCGACCTGACATCACTCATGTTGTTCATCAGCTGAGTCAATTTGTTTCTAATCCCATGGATGAGCACCACACTGCTGCTTGTCATATTCTGCGTTACTTAAAAGGCTCACCTGGCAAGGGTCTTCTATTTCCAGTTTCTAACTCTCTTCAACTCTCTGCCTTTTCTGACAGTGACTGGGCATGCTGCCCATATACACGCAAATCTGTCATAGGTTCTTGTATTTTCTTAGGCAATTCATTGATCTCATGGAGATCTAAGAAACAAAGCACAGTTTCTCGCAGCTCATCTGAAGCTGAATATCGAGCACTTGCCTTTGTAACTTGTGAAGTTCAATGGATGGCTTATCTCCTCAAGGATCTGCATCTTCCTTTAACCAATCCGGTTTCGATCTACTGTGACAATCAAGCTGCCATGTATCTTGCTCATAATCCTTGCTTCCATGAAAGGAGTAAGCATATTGAAATTGATTGTCATATCACTAGGGAGAAAATTAATTCAGGTCTCATTCGATTGCTTCCCATTTCTACTCATCACCAACTAGCTGATGTGTTTACCAAATCACTGCATCCTTCTCCTTTCAAAGAGGTCATTTCCAAGCTGGGGATGTTTGATCTTCATCTCCCACCTTGAGGGGGGCTATTACCAGTGAAATGGAAGCAGCCACGGCCTTTTAATTTTAAGACTTGGTGTTAGTTGTTAGTTGGTTAATTCTGTTATTTCTTTCTTGCAGTTACTTTCTTTACACGTATCAGCTATTAGTTGATGTATATAAGCTGATATTTGATACGTTTTACCATCAATGAAAATACTATTCAGTTTGCATATTTCCTTTCTTCCTCTTGCTTCTTCTTTCTCCTTTCTTTCTTCTTCAACTTTAATAACTACCATTAGTAATTATTCATTTCCTTGAAGATTCAAGTATACATCATAGTTATTGGTATGTTACTTAAGAGATATCAGGTGCCATAGTTATCAGTTGATAAATGACGCCTTGCTGTGTTTGAACTCAATACACATATAGGTTCATAATAGAAAGACACATACAATAGCTATATTCAAGGTCTATGAGAACATACACTAGCTTTAGATTACTAGTGTTGCTTGTATATAATATATGTTCTCCTATTTTAAAAGGTTTGCAGTGTATTTGAATTTTGAATTCAGGGATCTATATATAACAAGGCACAATACTAGCTGAGACATGCTTTTGAATCATGATAGATCATGATAGATGGTTTTATGATTTATTGTGATTTATATCTCACCCATTTTATGGGACCCATTTCAGTTGAGAAGAAAGAAAGTGACAAACCACATAACTCTTGACAATACTCACTCTGGATAATGTTTTGCTTGTTGACATACTCTAATCTTTTGACAGCCTAATTAGAATAGTTGGTTTAAATTCTCAATTTTTGGTGTTAGCCATGTATTGTATATGGTTGAGACATGTCCATGTATATACTTATGTATATTTCAGTCCATTTATATAGTTTCTAGTGTAAATGTTATCATTAGTTGGGGCATTACAATAAGCTTCCATAGGATATTGATTTAATTTCAGAACTCAAAGTATTATGCATCAATAAGAGATCACCTCTTCAAATTATGTTGACTTGTACTTATGAGAAATATATCTTTCATGTAGTATAAGACAATTTTGTATCATGCGAACACAAAAATAGGTGAGATCCATTCTTTTTATTTCTCTCTCTTCTTTTTAGCGAGTCATACCCTTTTTTTGTGTTTTGCACGAGACAATTATCTCTAATTGTCTCCTACAACATGAGAAACATATTTTCACATATTTTCTATTAATTTTTTTTACGTTTGAAAGATATATTCTCTGTATTGTTATTAGTGGCTGGTAATGTATACATTGTACATGTTTATCATTTTTATGATATTAGAAATTATGTCGAAATCTTGATAAATTTTAAAGTATGCGTTTTATAATTTTATTTTCATGTTATTGTGAAGTCTAAACTAGTCACAACAAGAGTTTTTGGTTAACTTAATTTGTTCGGTGATCATGACTTGAAGAGCTTTTGGTGGATTAAAGCTGATTTCTTACCTAGAATAGTACCTATCAGTGGCTGCTCCCATTACAAGATTCTGTATGTTATATTGGGAGATGAGTTCTAGAATTCCTTTTTCAATGCAATCCATTTCAATGTGCAGTTTCTCTGCCACCACCTGTATCAGATAAACCATTACTCAAAAATTAAATAAGTTTTGAAATTAATACTCTGCACATACAATGGAAATGGACAGAGTTACAATTAAGAACAATTACCCCCATTTTTTGACAGGTAAGAACATAGTCATCCAGAGTCTTGTGCATGTCTTGTCTTTCAACTTCCCTGTATGCTAGAACTTCCTGCTCTTTCTGTGCACTTACTGGAAATTTAGCACCCACTATATAAACAACCAAATTAAACAGGTTAAAGACCCTTATAAGAAAATGAAATTTGTATCAATGAGAAATACAGCATGGCATAGTAACCATTGTCTATAACTAACACAAATTAAAGCTAAATTTGGTACTAAAAATTAATTGCTCTAATGATAAACCGTAAGTCATATAAATATTCAATCACTAGAATTTAAACAAAACTAAACTAGAGGACGAGTTTCGAAGCACTGGTAAGATTGTTCCTATTCAAACTTGGAAGCTACAACCCTCACCCCTACTTTCAAAGTTGTCAAAATTGAGTTTTTACATTAAAATGAAAAGGGACAGTAGAAACGTATACATTGAAGAAACGACACGAAATGTAAAGTTTTTATTTTTTAATGTCAAGATACAAAATTATATACACATATGCATTTAAAAAAAGAAATCACATAAGTTACTATTCAAAATTTAATGAATAACTTTATATTTAAAATATATAAGTCACATAACTATATAAAACATAAGTCTAAAAATCCAAAAAGAGTTTAACAACTACTGTAACCAAGTTCAAAAACATCAAAAGAATAAAGTTTAATAACTCCTAAATTATATTAATTGATTCAAATTCAAAACAAGGTTTTTTTTTTGTTTTAAAACAAAACCGGGTCATGCGTTAAAAGTTGACCCGGTTCAGTCTTTGGGTCTAAGTAAAAATATAAAAACTTGTGTTTCTACCGTTTTTTCGTTTTTACGCGGTGTTATTATCCCTTTTTACTAAGAAGGGTTTTTACTTTCGTTTTGACACTTATGACTACAACAAAAACCTTAAAATATACGTATTTAGTGTCATTTTTGACAATAGTGCCTACCCTGACAAGTCCAAGAGTCTTGTGCACCAGGATGTACCCCTTTTTACCCCCTTTTAGAATTTAAACAAAATCCAACATGGGAAACTTATGACTAGAGATAAACTTGATATTTCAACTGTGTGTTTATCTCATTAATTGGTAGCCTTTAAATAGGCGAACATACAATAAATGGTAACAACGTAACAGACTAAAACAAATAAATACTCTATCTAAACAGTCCTACGGTTACAAAGAATTCAAACAATATACATTACAAAGAATTCAAACCTACGGTTACAAAGAATTGAATTCAAACAATATACGTTACAAAGAATTAAAACAATATACTGTTACATATAATCTCCAACACTCCCCCTCAAGTTGGAGTATGTAAGGATGAAATGCCCAACTTGGGAAGAAAACTAAGAAGCTCGCGTTGTCCCAAGGCTTTAGTAAACAAATCAGCAAGTTGGGAACGAGAAGGCACATGAGCTGTTGTAATATGCTTGGCTAGAATATGGTCACGTACAAAGTGGCAATCTAACTCAATATGCTTGGTACGCTCGTGAAACACCTGATTCGCTGCAATGTGTAAAGCAGCTTGGTTATCACAAAACAATTCCATAGGACTTGAGTGAGTGACCCCAAGAGAGGTGAGAAACGACTTGAGCCACACAATCTCTGTTGTAGCTGCAGCCATTGATTTATACTCTGCTTCTGCAGAAGAGCGAGACACCGTTACTTGTTTCTTGGTCTTCCAGGATACAGGTGAAGAACCTAACATAATAAAGAAACCAGTGAGAGATCGTCTGGTAAGAGGACATGAAGCCCAATTCGAATCACAATAGGCATGAATTTTTAGGTCACAATCCGATTTGAGGAGAAGTCCTTGACCAGGATCTCTCTTTACATATCGAATAACCCGGAGAACAACCTCATAATGAGCTAGGCGCGGTGAATGCATGAATTGAGAAAGGATATGAACAACATAGCTCAGGTCGGGTCTTGTGATAGTGAGGTAAATCAACTTACCAATGAGTCTTCTATACCGTTCATGGTTCTCATATACTGGTCCGTCATCCAAGGCAAGACGATGATTTTGTTCTATGGGGGAAATCGTCGGTTTACATCCACTGAGCCCGGAATCATAAAGAATATCCAGGGCATACTTACGCTGACATAAAAAATATTCATTTCTTGCTGCGGGCAATTTCAATACCCAAAAAATATTTCAGACTACCCAGGTCTTTTATTTTAAAACATTGATTCAGATACTCCTTGACTGCAAGACAAGCATGTGAATTATTACCTGCTAAGATGATGTCGTCGACATAAACTAAAAGTGCAAGAGACACCTCCCCTTTTTGCATAGTAAAGAGCGTGTAATCAGCTTTTGACTGAACAAATCCATATGCCGTCAACGAACTGCTGAGTTTGGAAAACCAGTTTCGGGGTGATTGGCGCAAACCATACAATGACTTTGTAAGACGACATACTTTATGCTTAGACCCAGTACTGAATCCAGGGGGAATCTCATGTAAACTTCCTCACTTATTTCTCCATTCAAGAATGCGTTATGAACATCAAGCTGGTGCAACTCCCAGTTTCTTGCTGCAGCCACTGCAAGCAATGTACATACACTCACCATCTTTGCCACTGGTGCATAAGTCTCACTGTAATCTTCTCCGGCAATATGATAATTACCTGCAATCACCAATCTTGCCTTATACCGTTCCACCGTTCCATCAGAACGATATTTTATTTTAAACACCCACTTGCTTGGAAGAGCACGCTTCCCTGGAGGTAAATCCGTGAGGCACCAAGTATGGTTGTCTTCTAAGGCTGTGATTTCAACCCTCATAGCTTCCACCCATCGGGAGTCTCTCATAGCATCTTGAAATGTACGTGGTTCATGACCTGTGTCAATAGGTGCAACAAAATCTTGATGTTGCTTAGAAAAGTTAGTGAGGCTAAGATAATTGCACATAGGATACCGAGTACCTGAGGTGACATTGGTTTGAGTAGGGAAAGATGAAGGAGTATGTGTTTCAGCTACTTGACATGCATAGTCCTGCAAATAAGATGGCTGCTTCCTGTTACGGTGCTGGCGAGTGACTGTTTGACGCAGATTTGCTTCCAGCAACTGCTGTTGGGTTGATGCATCACTAGAACTCGAACTTCTTTCTAGTAAGGATGACTCCCTAGCGGCAACTTCGTTAGTTGGTGTTGCTTCCAGCAAAACACTCCCCCTATCGTCCAGAGGAACACATGATCCACTAGGTGTTGGGCTGTCATTTGATGCATCAGAACCGTCATGGACAATTTGGCCTTCGTCAAAGTAATTTGGCTCTGTAGGCACACGAGAATTTGGTGCAGAAACAGATTGTACTGGAGCTTCGCGAAAAGGAAAATATTTTCAAAAAATTTTACATCCCTGGACACAAAGCTTTGTTGCGCTTCTATATCAAACAATCTCCAACCTTTCTGCCCTATTCCATATCCGATGAAAACACATCGTCGCGAACGTGGAGCAAACTTGTCAGTTGGTTTCGGTCTTGTATTAGCAAATGACAGACAACCGAACGTGCGCAAGTATGTATAATCTGGTTTAACTCCATGCAATTCTTCATGTGGTGACCTGCCTTGGAGAACTCTTGTAGGTGTTTTATTAATTATATGAACAGCAGCAAGAATACTCTCCTCCCAAAAATCAACAGGGAGATTTGCATGAAACAGTAAGGCACGTGATACATTAAGGATGTGACTATGCCTCCTTTCGACTCTCCCATTCTGTTCAGGCGTATAAACACAAGTTGTTTGTTGCAAAATACCTTTTTCATTCAAGAGTTTCACCATGTTATTAGATTTGAGCTCAGTACCATTATCAGACCTTATTATTTTTACGGTTTTACCAAATTGGTTCAGAACCATAGCAAGAAACTTGCACATCCGATCATAAGTTTCACTTTTATCGGCCAACATAAAAACCCATACATGCCTACTATAGTCATCCACCACAGTTAAGAAATAACGTGCACCAGAAGAAGAAGAATTTTGATAAGGACCTCAAGTGTCACAATGGATTAAATCAAAACATTCTTTGCTGCGAGAAAAACTTATAGGAAATATTGATCTAGTTTGCTTGGCACGATGACAAACTTCACATGCCTTACATACTACTTTATTTTGCAAAGCTTTAAATTCTGGAACCAGAGATAAGATATCATAGGACGCATGGCCTAGCCTGTTGTGCCACAAGTCAATTGACTCTCCTGCTTGAACTGCCGAAGCTGAAGCACATGAAGGCTGAAACACATAGACTCCTTCATGAAGTTCACCCAAACCAATCTCCCTCTTCAGCACTTGGTCCTGCAAAATGCACTTTTTATCAGTAAATGTAACGCTTCTGCTCTTGGAGTGAAGCAATTGGGAAATAGAGATGAGATTGCAGCGTAAGTTAGGCACATATAAAACATTTGACAAGCTGAAGTTTGTATTAAACACCATCGAGCCTTGTTTTGCAGCATAAGTAATAGAACCATTTGGTAGAGTCACAGATAGAGGGGGAATAAGTGTAATGTCAGCTAATAAAGCCAAAGTGCCTGTCATATGACATGAGGCCCCACTATCAATGAGCCATTGAGAATGAATACGCTTACCAGATAATTTTTCATGTGACTGAGGCTGGTCTACCAATGTTAACAGTTTGTTCACAATTTCTGGGGTCAAAACGGAGTGTGCAGCAACTTGAGAAGAGGCAGAATGGGAGACGTCTGGAGGAAGAGAGTTAGCAGCAACTGGGTGTGAGGCATCCATTGCAAACGTCGCATGAGCATGCGTATAGCGTCCTGCCGAACGTCCTCCCCTTCCTCGTCCGCGACCAGCACTCCTGTTTGGTGGAAAACCATGAACATTCCAGCATTTGGAAGGGTCGTGATTGGTCCTGCCACAATGAGGGCAAGGTATTCTGTCTTGTGGTTTGTTAGGAACCATCCGCTGCTGCATGGACGTGTCTGACTACTTCATGGAATCGGTTTGGGCTGGGTATCCCACTACCTGACTCCTCTCATCTTGAACGCGAGAAATACTACGATGGGTCTCCTCTTGAGTGACAATTGCGTACACTTTGTTGACACTAGGAAGAGGAGAAGTGTTGAGGATATGGGATCTCAGATTGCCAAATGTAGATTCATCCAGCCCCATCAAAAATTGATAAACGCGAGCATGCTCTTGCTCCTCCTCAATTGCTTTGGCAATGGCACACTTATCACCACAATCGCAAGACTTTTCCTTCCAGATCGTCCCATACAGCCCTGAGTTTGGTGTAATAATCACCAACGCTATCTCCATGTTGCTTGATATTGGCTAAACTGGATTTCAGTTGATACTGTCTTGGAAAGTTTTGCACTGCATACCTTTCCTCTAGGTCATTCCATAAGTCCTTGTCGTCATCAAAGCACTTGATGAATGGTTGAAGTTTTGCATCAAAGGTGTTGTGAATCCAACCATTGAGCATCGAATTGCACATCTCCCAGGCGCGCCACTCTTCGGCATCATCCTCTCCTGGTTTCTTGATTGAACCGGTCATAAAACCCAATTTGTTTTTCGCCTTCAATGCGTTTTTCATGAGCTTGGCCCAGTTGTCATAGTTAGCCTCACCACGCAACATGACAGTCGTTAACAAGAGACCTGGACTGTCGGATCCAGCCAAGTAAAATGGCGAACTAGGATCAGTTGTTTTGGACTTGCTGCCACCACCTGGTGCCATGTTAAATGAACCAGCTTTCGCACTGAAAGAGAATGCGGAAACGTGTATACTAGGATTGCTCTGATACCAAGATAAACTTGATATTTCAATTGTGTGTTTATCTCATTCATTTGTAGCCTTTAAATAGGCGAACATACAATAAATGGTAACAACGTAACAGACTAAAACAAATAAATACTCTATCTAAACAGTCCTACGGTTACAAAGAATTCAAACAATATACGTTACAAAGAATTCAAACCTACGGTTACAAAGAATTGAATTCAAACAATATACGTTACAAAGAATTCAAACCTACAGTTACAAAGAATTCAAACAATATACGTTACAAAGAATTCAAACAATATACTGTTACATATAATCTCCAACAACTAGGCTTTCTAAAAAAAGGCTTGATAATCTTAAGGGCCCTTTTGGGTATTAATTCAAATCACTTGGTAATTTTCTAAAATAGTGGTCATTAAGGAAATATATACCAAACATATGTTGCAAACTATAAATACACATAGAGAAGCATATAAGCACACACATGTTGCAAACTTACGCAAGGGGATCATAGGTGCTGGCACATGAACATGAAGAACGCAAATCTTCTTTCCTCCAGAGTTCTGTATAGCCCATATCAGAGCTGATTTGCTATCTTTCAAATATTTTGCAACAGCAACATATATTATGTCATTAACCACAATTGGATTGGGCTCCTCTACAATTTCTCTCACTGTGGTCATGATTCCAGGGACCCCAATATCCCTAATTGAGTTCACAGAACTGAAGCTGTGTGGATTGCAAACATAGGACACACCACAGCCATGCCAATAGATCAAGGATGGTTGAATAATTAAAAAGTAACCTTATAGCTTCTCTCTCAAAAGACTCTTCCACTAAGAACACACTTCCTCTACTGAAGCAGTGTTCCCTTTTATAGAGAAAATCACATCTCAAGACTACCCAATTCAACTCTCTCTCTCTCTCTCTTGTAGCCAAAAAATACAACTTTCTTTCTCAACTATTGGGAATTCTCTTATCCAAAAAAAAAAAAAAAAAAAAAAAACTCTCAAACCCACAAAAAATTCTTTCTCTGGAATTCAAAAAATCCAATCTACTCTATTCTTCTCCCAGAGAATTGATAACCAAAATCTCTCCCTGCTGAAAAAGAATTCTCACTCAACCAAAAAGAAAAACAAAGAACAAAAAACAAAAGATTCAACTTTTCAACTATCTAGAATTTGCGCAACCCCAACATAGGTCCCTCAAATCTCTCTTTCTAAGTCACCCAATAGAAACAAATATAAAACATGTCCATTATCATGAAAAGGTTCATAGGACAATAGAAAAAGGAAGAAGCCTTTTTCTGCAGGTGTTTATGTAAAAAGGTCTCTCTTATCTTCTTCTTGACGAATAGAAAAGAGTGACCTTGTCTTGAGCTAAATTCACTGCAGCATACAAATACAAGGACGCCAAACTAATAAAGTAAATGACATTACACTAACTTACAAAATGTCACTTTCACGCCAAAAACTATTCTTATCTTATATTTCTACACATTTTTTTGATAATTCTATTTTTTTTTCTTTTTTTTTTTAAGTGGTAGAGCTCGTAAATTTATCTCTATAATATGAGATAACTTATTTACTTTAACATGAGATTAATAAAACACTTAAATTAAATAGTATTACTGTTGAAACATCATATTTAAAGCACAAAAGTGACGAAAAATTCATACGCTAATTGGATATATCATGATTCATGAGCATAACAGTATATAATATAAAAGATGCCATATTAAATTTTGAGTTATTATATCATAGTTTTTTTTTTATTTAATAGTGTACATCTATGAAACACCGACACTTCAAAATCCCTAATGTGTCGTGTCCGACACTCACTGACACTCACTGACACTTCCCGACACTCCAATACTCATTACAAAGACTCAAAAAAAGGTTTAAAGGTTACGTTGCGTTGCATTTTGAGTTCCAACTATTAGATTCGTTGGATTACGATTACTATTTTATTAAGTTTAATATAAACATTTGAGATATCTTATGTTTCTTTGCAAAATTAATGGATATTATAAGTTTAACTTTATTTTTTTGTTAAATTATTGAATATTAAATATAATATACACTATATAAATTAAAAATATTATATAATATCAAAACATGTCCTAACGTGTCGAAATTTAACATTTTTTAAAATTAACTTGTCGGAGTGTCGTGTCATGTCGTACCCTGTAACACCCCGTATATATCCGGTAATATTATCATATCATCGTATTAAGCTGCGATTAATTAAAAATGCGAAATATCTTTTTCTTTTCATTTATTACGTCATTATCATTTCCAACTTGCTTAATTAATCATTTAAATAAAACCATGCTCGTACATAAATTGCAAAAGACAGCTAACTGAAATACCTTATTAATTAAACAACATAAATATGTCTCTAGACACGGAACTACAACACGTAGACCGGACAAATCCTGATAGTTTGTACAACTCAAGCTAAAAAGTACTAACAACCAAGTGGCATGGACAAACCACATGCTCATCCGAATAAGGCAACAAAGCCCAACAAGTCTCAACTATAGCAACAATATAATATAAAGGCGGAAAACATAAACAACATCCAAATCCAGTCATGCCAGCATATAAACAGTAATATTATCAACTAAGCTCTGGCATCCTGCCGCTAGAGGCATCAGCCCCCATACTACCTGAACCTGAAATAAGCGCCCCAAACGTGGGGTGAGATCTCTAACAAGAAATCTCAGTAAGACAAGGGATCGTCAAGGATCTTCCACCTCAAGCTCACTTACATGTGCAATATAAGTTCCAAAACAGTTTAACAATATCATTTCCAAAATAGTGCAATGCAGCAGATAATCATGTCATGTGTGTCAATACAATAATCTACTGGCCAGAGAAATGTAGGAATACGTCTATTACCCACATAGTACGCGCCCTGCCGTACCTACCTTTAGGATACCATCCCATCGGGTGAACACCACATACATATCATAAGCCATTGCACAATATAAGCTCAAAAGCATTTCAATATATATCAAAGCATGTAACACAACAAGCATATAACCATATTCCCATGGGACATGGTGGAACCACAACTTGGCTAAACCGATGACACGAAAGCTTACCTCTTAAGCTAACTATCCAATCCAAGAGTTCACAGCTCAAAGTCCAAACACAGCAAAATCACAATCTGTTATGGACCAATAATATATCAACAATCATACTCTACAAGCATACAACATAAAGACAACGCCTTTCCTTACGTTTTACGTCTTAAGGCTTCACACAAGCCACAAGCCCTTAATCACTTGATTCTGACTTAGTTCAATTATTACAGAAGTTCAACTTCCTCAATCTAGGGTCCACAAACCCCCAAACATCAGTTCTGGATGAACAGTAAGCTACTGTTCCTCGCAAACCCAGAATATCCGGATATTTGTCGGGGACATATCCGGATATCAATACCCGGATATCAAAAGACCCGATATCCGGATATCAATATTCGGATACCAATATCCGGATATCCATATCCGGATATTTCACGACAGAATGCAGTTCTGCATTTCGTGAAGATATCCTTCAAAGGTTCCACTTTTAACACTTCCAAACGTTAAAGCATGCATCTTTACTCTGTTTTAAGTTCACATACTAGTGGGTTACTTGTTTAACTCATTAAACATATCAAAACATTAACTTTAACCCATTAAACTCATGATCAAGGTTGGTGACACTTACCAAAGCTCAAAACTCAGCAAGAAAGGCTCTTGGAGCTCACCATACCGCCTCTACAGTTCTGACTAACAAGGCACACGAAAAATACCACACAAGATGAGTTCTTTCTCTACAAGGATCACACTTTGAAGCTCAAAATGCCAACCCCAAGCTCCCACAAGCCAACCCTCAAAGTCAGCACCTCCACACACTCAACCAGAGGCTACAACTCAGTAAGGAAGTCACTCACAACCTCACAAGACCTACCCACACAAGGCAATGGTGTTTAGAGATGAAGAGATGAAGCAAAGGTGACAACTTGGTCACAAAAATGGTGAAGAAAGGCCATGAACCCAAGCACCTGCTGACCAGCCATCAACAACTCACGTAGGATCAGAATCTCTAGGGTTTTGTACCCAAAGAATAAGTATATATAGCCCACTTAAGCCTTTAACACACAGTATTAACATTAATTGCTACGCTTAGCATTTTAGTCCCAAACTCAGGATTCTTAACCTACTAAATTTTACAAGAATTATCATATTTTTCTTATATTTTTCGCAACACCTTTCCAGTACGCACTTTTTATAGCCACTATCAGTTCCTGACACCAGTTCTCATTATTATAACTTGAAACTCGTTTTACAAGTCCTATATATTATTCTAGGAATTATCATGCTGACTTTTAACTTTTGTGGACTCGTCAAAGTATTTCATTTCCCTCAAATGAATATTACCTCCGAAAAACTGGCCATGATTAATACTTGGGTTTTGTTAAATAAAAAGAGAGAGGAAAAAAGTGGTTTTTTTTTCTTCTTCTTAAACACAAAAAGAATAGTTCTTCAAGTTGCATATGTCGTTTCGTTTCCATGTACAGCAACAGCGCTAAAAAAAAAAAAAAAAAACTTAAGTTTAAGGGAACGGATCCACTTACCACCAAAAAAGTTTACAACTCTTACAACCAATTTAATTACCGTTGATTTCCGTCAATCTAACGATTATAAATTAATAACATTTATTGTGTCACATTTATTAATTCCCAATAAATTATAACCATTAGATTGACGAAAATCAACGGTGATTAAATTAGTTGTAAGAGTTGTAAACTTTTTTGATGATAAGTGGATCCTCTCTCTAAGTTAAGTTTAAATATAATTTTATCTTTATAAGTGCCTTTTATTTTTAATTTGATTGTTATAAAAGAAAGTTTGCAATTTGATCCATATATATTTTGATTTTAATCATTTTCATCTATTTTTAATTATAATATTGTATGTTAAATTTATAATACAATAAAATTTAAGGATAAAACTAAAAATGAGTATCATGTATAGAGACTAAAAATAGAATATCTAGTTTCTACATGTGGTATTTATTTTTAAATTTGATACTTATATTTTATTGTAATTTAAAGTTAATTTAATCATGCTATTATAACAATTAAAATAAAAAAATGTAGGTTTCTTTTTGTTTTGGGTACATTAATAAAAAATAAAAAATAAAAAATAGAGCGCTGTTTTCTCCTCAAACCCCTCATTGATGTGGTAATGTTGATGCGTATCCGTCAATTTAAAGTCGTCTATAGAAGACAAAGGTAATTGTGGAAAACTTCGGTAATAGAGATAGAGCTCTTAATTTCTTGGGACCCTTCTTTGATGGGGCAATTTTGATATGTATCTTTTAATTTCAAAGTTGTCTATACAAGCAAAACGAATGGGAAAAAAAAAAAGTGAAAAGTGAAACTTGGTGCAACCTTTGATACGAAAGACTAAATTCATATCGTATCCGTATTGTGTATATTCCCCATTATGTATTCTACATTTTATAATTCATTCAAGCAGATGCAGGACATCAGTAAAGGAAAAGCACATTAATGCTTTTTTAAGATTTAATTTACATATCATTTAATTACACATCAACTTGGTATAGTTCTTTTTCTCAGGATGGACAACAGCATTGCCCTGCCAAAGATAACTACACAAGATACAGTTTTGTCATATGTACATCATATGCTGCTTGTTTACAATGACTGAAGATACACAAACACATAAGTATCTAACCTATACAACAGGACGGGTGGTTCCATATTTTAAAGATCTGTAAAAGAAAAAAACTGATGGAAGAAAACTATTTCTCCTAGAAACTTAATATGAACAAGCAAATCTACAGTTTGATCAAAAAGGGAAGAGAACAAAATGACATGCTTGATCAGAGACTTTGAAGCCAATCCTGGATTGCAATGCGAATAGCATGGTTGGGAACAACATTCTGATGTTCAAGCTTAGCATTTGTCCTTGGTGAAGTGTCATTACCATTGTTCAGCCATTCTTGTATAGCCTCAGCTTCATAAGAAAAACCATCTGCAGCCACATGTGGATCTCTCATGACTTCCTGCAAAGTAGGAACATAATGGGGGGAGAACTAAATTAGATAACTGTTTTCTATTCAAAGCTCTATGATTCACTGATCCATGAATTTGGAAAAATCTTTGTACAAATGTAGCTAAAAAAGATATATAAAAAATATAAGGTAAGTATGAACAAAACCAGAAAGGGTATCACATAAATGCAGTGTTAACATTACATAACAAGAAGCAAAAACTATGTAACAAAACTTTGATTAAATTTTCAATGAAAATTGACCATTGGGATGCTAAAAGATCATAGTTTTTGAAGTGTTCATTGTTCCAAGAGATCATAAAAGATCATGAGGATATATACCTGTAAGATTGGACAAATAAAATATGGAGGAATTTGGCAGACCCCTTGAGAACCTAGTCCAAAGGTGTTTGTGCCTCCAGAAGAAGCCCTTATTGGTTCAAGTATCCTCCAAACATCTGAATGAAGTTCTGGCCTGCTCTTTCTATCAATCTCACAACACCTCAAAGCCAAGCGAGTCAACTGCTCAGCTTGCTCAAATGGCCAGTCTCCAGCCAAAGGATCCAAGAGAGATTTCAACTTTCCGGCATCGAATGCACACTGCACTTCCTTTTTTAATCCCAAGCCTGGTTTCCCAGTCAACAATTCTAATAGTATGATTCCAAAAGAGTAAACATCTGACTTTGGAGTAAGTTCACATGTAGAAAGGAATTCAGGATCCATGTAGACAAAAGATCCCTTTGGATCAGTTATCCAAAACTGTGTAGTATTGTTAGCAGCACTCTCTTGACAAGATAATACACGACAGATTCCAAAATCGCTAAGCTTACTAACAAGGTTTGCATCAAGGAGGATGTTGGAGGGTTTTAAGTCACCATGCACTATGCTGTGAGGTTTACTGGCATGGAGAAAAATGAGAGCAGAACATAGTTCTGCAGCAATGCGAATACGAGTTTGCCATGATAATGGAGGTGTATTATCCTTGCAGCTGAGACGATCTTCAAGGTTTCCATTGGGTAGATACTCGTAGACAAGAGTCCATGATTCTGGGCAGGCTCCTATAAGTGTGATAATATTGGGATGCCTTAACTTACTCAATATCTCAACCTGATATAAAACCATAAATTTGGGTCAAAATATATACTTGTTTCACTACAATCTGGATAAGTTAAGGTCAAATTCATTTCATAGCTGCACGCATAACAACTTACGCACTACAACCAACTTAAGATATTTCAAGGGGAATGTTCTACTTATCACTATTTTAGTCTTACCACTCTTATTACCTGTTTGGTTGTCATCCAACGATAACCAAATGGGTAGTAAGAATGATAAGCCTAAAATGGTGGTAAATATAATTGCCCCCATATTTCTGATTATAAACGCTACCAGCTAAAATTGACTATTGCTAACAAAAATTGAATGATGTCGAAAATATTAAACAAAGCTCAAACCATCCTACCTCCTGCTGAAACTCCGAGGGTCCTTGCTTGCTCTTGGGGTTCAACGCTTTTATAGCCACCTCAGTGTGACGCAGGATACCTTTAAATATACTTCCATATCCACCTTCTCCAATCTTTAGGGATGGATCGAAGTTACTTGTTGCTTCTTTGATCTCTGGAAAAGAGAATTCTGAGAAGAGTTGAAGAAAATGTGTGCTCGAGGCCTCTCCTTGTTTTCTCTTTAACTCCTCAGCCTCTCTCAAAGCATTATCTCGCTGCATTTTCAAATCATCTAGTTCATTCTTGTAGTTTTGTAATAGGTCTGCATCAGATGTCATTTTCTCCTCCAAGTCCTTTATCATAAGTTCAGTTGATGCAATTTGATTTTCTAGTGATGACTTCTGATCTAGTGCAAGTTGGTGTTCCTCAATAACTTTGTCTCTTATGCTCTTCATATTATCAATTTGTTCTTTTGCTTTCTCTAATTCTTCCTCCAACTCTTTCCTTAGTTTCAGCTCTTCTTTATACAAGACTTCACTGGCCTTAGCCTGTCAATTAGGTGGTTCAAACATCATGATTAGAATTTGCATCAAAAGTTGCAATTTCAGCACATTATAAGACAACTAAAATTTGCATCATGGTTAAGGTTAACTCATACAGCCTCCGCTTTCTTATTTAACAAATGCTTTACCACTTAAAATAATTTAAAAGCTAGAAAACTGGATAATACAATTAGAATTAACAATTCACATCATAAACGTGATGTGAATTAACAAGAAGAACTCAACAAAAGAACAGTTACCCTGCGTATAGCATCAATGGCATCTTTTTGAGCTATCCCCCTCCTAACAGTTTCTTGATATGCGTCCAGCCTAGCAATCTCAGCCTCAGCCATAGCCTGTTCAAGTTGATCATAGAGAGTATCATCCATTCCCCCATCCTGCTAGTGTTCAATCACAATGTTCAGAACATTATCATAAAATTGCAAATTTAGAAAGTAAAAAAGCCTCTCCATCAATTGCAAAAACTCAACAAGAAACAAGCACACATGCCCCACATCAGACACAAACATTATGAAAGAGGAAAAAGTATGTGTACCAGTACACTAGGAGGTGATGAAGATGAATGATGAAGATCCTCTTTAATCATAGAAAGACCACTCAAACTCAAGTCTAACACATTCTCACTGCCTTCACTAATCAAATTTGGGGTCATTACTGGTTCAACTGAAGCACTATCAGAGCACACTGAGAAAACTGAAGAACTCCATCTTGATAACTCATCTGACTCATCATAACTCAACCTGTTCTCTGGAGTTGCTAACCCTTCCGGAGAAACAGCTGCATTGCTCCTTCTTCCATATCTATCATTGATAGACCTTACTCTACGCAATAACATTTGAGCTGGACTAGCTAGTAATACCCAATGATTTTGCCCAACCGCAATAGATTGAGACCGCCGACCCCGACTAGTTTGGGATACTGGTGATGTTGGTGTTGATGTAATAGATTGAGATTCCGAATTTGGCATTTGATGCACCAAAGGAGACATGACCTCAACATTACCACTATACAAACTGCAATCCCTGAATTGATGTGGTATTTATATCAGAACCAGAGATAACATAACCAAGTGCAATAACATTATTATTGGCAAAGTTCAAAGAAAAAAAAAAAACAAGAAACAAGGTTTGAGAAATTATTAAGTATAGAACTCAGTATTCCTAGCTAGGCAACTAGGAAGCTTCATCCAAAGTTGCATTTATCATAATGTGACAGACACTATATCTATATCCCTTGTACATAACATAAGTATTCATAAAGTAACATACCTGGTGTGTATAAGGTTCCCTTTGCAGATATATTGTATATTACAAGAAGGTGGAGCTTGTTTACATACATAGATGGCTTTCTTAGATCTGATGTCTGTCATTTTCCTGCAATGTCATGCAAATGAAGCTCATTGAAAACATTATACTACTGACTTCACCATAACTCATATACAGATTGGAAAATATTATTAATTTATTATTTATTATTAAAAATTCGGTAGAAAGAGCCTTTATTATTTATTATTAATTTATGTTTAAATGATTTTATAAAGTCTTGTCATAATATTTTTTGGTATGGAGAGTTAAGGGAAATAATTTAGCTTTAAGGGAATGATGATGATAATGACATATTTTATTGTTAGTATTACTATTATTTTACGAATTTTATTGTATCATTGTCGATTAATAATATATGTATGAGAAAAATATTTTATATTATAATTGATTAATTATAATTTCATGTGTTATAGATTCTTATATAGTAAGATTATCATATTTATAATTTTAAATATTATTAATTATTTGAAAATGTCGTAAAGAATTTAATCATGAAATGTTGAATTTGAAAGTACAATATTCGAGAATTTTTAATGCTGGAAATGAATCAAGATTGATTTGTTAATATTTATATATACTTTTGGGGATCTATATTAAAATTTCGTTTAGTAGGGATAAAGATGTATGTGGCCACACCTAATTATGTATACAGATACTTTATTCGAGCATAATAGAATCATTCATTATATGGAGTAGCCTCAAGAAAAAGGCCACCAATTGAAGGAGAGGGCCACCAATAATACATGTTCCCCTCTTTTAAAATGTTTTTAGTGTATTTGAATTCTGCATTCAGGGATCTATATATATAACACGGCACAATACTAGTTGAGACATACTTTTGAATCATGATAGATCAATATAGATGGTTTTATGATTTATTGAGATTTATATCTCACCCATTTTATGGGACCCATTTCAGGTCAGAAGAAAGATAGTGCCAAACCACATGACTCTTGATAATACTCACCCTGGATGATGTTTTGCTTGTTGATATACACTGATCTTTTGACAGCATGATTAGAATAGTTGGTTTAAATTCTGGTGTTAGCCTTGTAATGTCTATGGTTGAGACAACTGTTGTTTCGTATGGAGAATTTGGTCTATGAACTTCAATTGTAAGGACATGTCCATGTATATACTTATGTATATTTCAGTTCAATTATATAGTTTTTGGTGTAAATGTTACCATTAGTTGGGTCGTTACATAGGATAGATAGATAGATACCCTCTTGATTTAATTTTGGAACTCAGTATTATGCATCAATAAGAGATCACTATTCAAATTATGTTGACTTGTATTTATCGAAAATATATTTTTTTTATATGAAACAATTTTGTCTTATGCACACACAAAATGTTGATGGGACTCGCTTTTTTTATTTCTCTCTTTTCTCCTTAGTGGGTCTCATCTACTTTTTTGTATTGTATGAAATAATTAAACAAAATTATCTCATGCAACATGAGAAATATATCCCCCTTTAAGTTTTTTATGTTTGAAAGATATATTTTCTTTATTGTTATTAGTGACCGATAAGTATACATTGTATATGTTTATCATTTTTATGATATTAGAAACTATGTCGAAATTTTGGTAAATTTTAAAGTATGCGTTTTATAATTTTATTTTCATGTTATTGTGAAATCTAAACTAGTCACAACAAGAGTTTTTGGTTAACTTAATTTGTTCGGTGATCATGACTTGAAGAGCTTTTGGTGGATTGAAGCTGATTTCTTACCTAGAATAGTACCTATCAGTGGCTGCTCCCATTACAAGATTCTGTATGTTATATTGGGAGATGAGTTCTAGAATTCCTTTTTCAATGCAATCCATTTCAATGTGCAGTTTCTCTGCCACCACCTGTATCAGATAAACCATTACTCAAAAATTAAATAAGTTTTGAAATTAATACTGTGCACATACAATGGAAATGGACAGAGTTACAATTAAGAACAATTACCCCCATTTTTTGACAGGTAAGAACATAGTCATCCAGAGTCTTGTGCATGTCTTGTCTTTCAATTTCCCTGTATGCTAGAACTTCCTGCTCTTTCAGTGCACTTACTGGAAATTTAGCACCCACTATATAAACAACCAAATTAAACAGGTTAAAGACCCTTATAAGAAAATGAAATTTGTATCAATGAGAAATACAGCACAGCATAGTAACCATTGTCTATAACTATTACAAATTACAGCTAAATTTGGTACTAAAAATAAATTGCTCTAATGATAAACCGTAAGTCATATAAATATTCAATCACTAGAATTTAAACAAAACTAAACTAGAGGACGAGTCTGGAAGCAATGATAAGATTATTCCGATTCAAACTTGGAAGCTACAACCCTCACCTACCCTGAAAGTTGTCAAAATTGAGTTTCAACATAGAAATGGAAGGAGATGGTAGAAACGTAAATTGTAAAAAACGACACAAAACGTAAAGTTTTTACTTCTTAATGTTAAGATACAAAAGTATATACATATATATATTTAAAAAAAGAAATCACATAAGTTACTACTCAAAATTCAATGAACAACTTTATATTTAAAATATGCAAGTCATGTAACTATATAAACATAAGTCCAAAAAAAAAAAAAGAGTTTAACAACTCTACAACCAAGTTCCAAAACATCAAAAGAATAAAGTTTAACAACTCCTAAATTATATCAATTGATTCAAATTCAAAACAGGATTTTTTAATTTTATAAATAAAATCGGGTCATGCGTTAAAAGTTGGCCCGAGTCTAAGTAAAAATGGAAAAACTCATATTTCTATCATTTTTTTTGCTTTTACACATTGTTTTGCCCTTTTCCAGTGAGAAACATTTTTACTTACGTTTTGACAGGTATGACTTCAACAAAAACCTTAAAATGTACGCTTTTACGTTTTTAGTGTCATTTTTGACAATAGTGCCTACCCTGATAAGTCGAGGAGTCTTGTGCACCGGTATTTAGCCCTTTTTACCCCGTTTTAGAATTTAAACAAAATCCAACATGGGAAACTTATGACTAGGCTTTCTAAAAAAAGGCTTGATAATCTTAAGCGCCCTTTTGGGTATTAATTCAAATCACTGGGTAATTTTCTAAAATAGTGGTCATTAAGGCAATATATACCAAACATATGTTGCAAACTATAAATCCACATACAGAAGCACATAAGCACACACATGTTGCAAACTTACACAAGGGGATCATAGATGCTGGCACATGAACATGAAGAATGCAAATCTTCTTTCCTCCAGTGTTCTGTATAGCCCATAACAGAGTTGATTTGCTATCTTTCAAATTTTTTGCCACAGCAACATATATTGTGTCATTAACCACAATTGGATTGGGCTCCTCTACAATTTCTCTCACTGTGGTCATGATTTCAGGGACCCCAATTGGATTGGGCTCCTCTACAATTTCTCTCACTGTGGTCATGACTTCAGGGACCCCAATATCCCTAAACGAGTTCACAGAACTGAAGCTGTGTGGACTTGCAAACATAGGACACACCACAGCCATGCTAATAGATGCAGAATGGTTGAATAATTAAAAAGTAACCTTACAGCTTCTCTCTTAAAAGACTCTTTCTTTCCTCTACTAAAGCAGTGTTCCTTTCTATGGAGAAAATCACATGGAACCGAAACTCAAGACTACCCAATTCAACTTTCTCTCTCTTCAAGCCAAAAAAGTCAACTTTCTTTCTCAACTATTGGGAATTCTCTCTCCACTACAGCCCCCATTTCAAACAACCCAGAAACTTAATCATCAAAATCTCTCAAAACTAAATTACCCAAAAATTAAAAATTAAAAAAAAACCTCTCAAACCCACAAAATAATTCTTTCTCTGGAACTCAAAAAATTCCAATCTACTCTATTCTCCCAGAGAATTGATAACCGAAATCGCTCCCTGCTGAAAGAGAATTCTCATTCAACCAAAAAGAAAAATAAAAACAAAGAACAAAAGATTCAACTTTTCAACTATCTAGAATTTGCACAACCCCAACATAGGTTCCTCAAATCTCTCTCTCTCTCTCTAACTCACCCAACAGAAACAAATATAAAACATGTCCCTTATCAGGAAAAGGTTCACAGGACAAAAGAAAAAGGAAGAAGCCTTTTCGTGCAGGGGTTTATGTAAAAAGGTCTCTTATATGAATAGAAAAGAGTGACCTTGTCTTAAGCTAATTTCACTGCAGCATACAAATACAAGGACACAAACTAATTAAGTAAATGACATCACACTAACTTACAAAAAGTCACTTTCGTTCATTTAAATTAAATAGTAATACTGTTGAAACATCATATTTAAAGCACAAAAATGACGAACAATCCGTACCCAACAAACTAATTAATGGAAAAACTATTCTACGTTAGATAGATTTTTTTTTCTATTTATCTTTTTATTATTGTGTAATTTTTTTTTATTTTTTCAAAACCCTACGATCACCTTTAGCCCTCAAAGATTTTTCATTTTTCAAGAATTTGCTTAAGTCAGGATTTAAACTCCTGACCTAAAAAATTCTTGGCAACTCAGTTGCCAGAGCTATCCTTAGGGATAATATATCATGGCTCTTTAACCCACATGGAGTTTTTACCCATTTAATTTTTTAATTTGATATTCGATTCACAATATTTACCAATATGGGTAGTTGAGTGACGCAAGAGGACTTAGCGGCACTGAGTGCCACGAACAACCCCGCGTCACTCACACATTTGTTTTTTTTTATCATGAGTGTCGGCTCCCCTCCCTTGGGGAACTCATGGATTGTGCCACGTGACACAATCTCGTTAGTTTTGTTTTCGTAAAATTTCAGAAAGCAATAACTTTTGACTCGGGCAATCTCAGTGTCGCTGGGTCCCCCTCGCGTCACTCAACGACCTAAAAAAATATTATGAATCAAATAGCAAATTGGTACATTAAAACCTAAAAAAAAAAACCCAATGAATCAAAGAGCCAATATATCATAGTACTTACCACTAGATTATTTTGGATTATTGGTTAAATTACATCATTTAAAACATTTATTATATAATTAAACATAAAATATAAATTTATATATATTTATCCATATTATACGAATTAACTAGTGATCCACTAACCTGTATTGAGCAGTGTTTTAAAACCCGGCTCGGACCGGCCGGGTCGACCCGGGACTCGGTGACCCGCTGGGTTCCCCGGTCCGAGCGGGTAGTTGGACCGGTTATGCAGTCAACCCGGATTGGACCGGTTGACCTGGCCGAAACCCGGCGACTCGGCGACCCGGTTGACTCGGGTTAAACCGGTTTTTCCTTTTATTTTATTTTTTTTTTGGTAATTTTTTTTTTTTGTTGATAAGAACTCTTGAATTAAATCATATTCATATTTTATGATGAATATGATTAAAAGTAAGGTGAAAATAATAAGGTATTTTAGATTAGTGTAGTTCGTTTATGTAATTTAGTTGCATCTTATAATATCTCATGAAATTAAGTGGTGATAAACACTGATGGTCTCATGATCTCATCTCAACGGTGGACACTTTTTTCTTATAGTGTATATTTCATGCGTACTATTTGTTATCATGATTTAATTTATCCGTATCATGTCAAGCACAAAAAGTGCATTTAACTTATATTGCATGGTTTAATCCAATATTAGGATACAGTCTAGAGCTAGAAGCTTAGAAGTATATAATATTTGCTATCATTGAAAACCAATTTATTTCTTGAAGCTCATTGATAGTTTTCTTATATGAATTTTTATTAATATAAGTAATATTTTTATATTTTTAATATGTGAACAGTAAAATCGGTTGAACCCGGTTGAACCAGTGACCCAGTACCTCGACCGGTTCGATGACCGGTTCGAGTTTTAAAACACTGGTATTGAGACTACATATTTCAACTGTGTCGGTGATCGGTTTTGGCGTTTAACAAAAAATCTTGGAAATTATACAAACAAACCCCGGTACGTGGTATGCTCCGTCAAATTCTTCTTTTCTCTCCTTGTCCCCTTTGCCTACTTCACGCGAAGTTTCGAAGTAATAGAGCAACCCTATTAGTTGCACATAACCGTAGATGTGGGGAACACTGACTATTTTGTCAGTGTTGGCCAAAAAAAAGTATCAGACTGTCACGTCAATAATAAATTTTGTCAAAATGTCACGTGGCATATTTCACTACACTGTGTAGCGAAATATGTGTGTAAATAATTCGCTACACAGTGTAGCGAAATATGCCACGTCAGAACCAAAAATGTCACGTGTCAAAATTGTAGAAATTTGCTACCCTATGTAGCAAATTTCTTCAATTTTGACACATGACATCTTTAGTTCTGAACAGTCTGACGTGGCATATTTTGCTACACTGTGTAGTGAATTATTTGCACACATATTTCGCTACACAGTGTAGCGAAATATGCCACGTGACATTTTGACAAAATTTAACGTGACAGTGTGGTAATTTTTTTGGCTAACAGTGGCACTTTGATCACTGTTTCCTAGACGTGGTCTAATGTTATTCTTTGGTTTCATGTAATTTTTTGTTGAAATAAATCTTTCGTACGAAATTGTGAAATGCATTTTTTTTTTATGAAAAGTAAGGGGAGAAAAGATGAGGAGATGAAAAGTAATTGGTTTCATGTAATGTTATTCTCAAGACGCGGTTTCTACTATTCATGGTCACACGAAGACTTTTTTTTTTGTGACTTTGACATTTTGTTACTTGTCTTTGTTGTTTTCGCTAAAAACATTAGAGTTTTGAAGTTTGTCAACACTAGGATTTGGCATGTCTTCCGAGTGACCTACGAATTAAACCTAAATTAGTAAATTTCAGTGTCTGTCAAACGTAACGTGAAAAGAGATAATACAAACTCAAATTGCTAAAAAGAAAAAAACGAAAATGTTGTCTTATTAAAAGGAAATATTACTCTCCTTTTACATAAGATTACTTTTCTCTTACTCTCTCACTTCGATTTCCGCACTTCATTTTTTTCTTTTTTCTTGTAATAGTGGAACTCATCCATTTTATCTCTACAACATAAGATACTTATCTTATGTTGAAGGAGAATAATAAAACCCCTTATTAAATAATGCTGACTGGAAATGAAATATAATTGATGTGGAAATTAAAACTCTTTTTCAGGAATTTGTCACTTTGTTACGTGCATAGATATAGCCATACAGGGCTTTGGACCTATTTAAAACAAACTTCAATATTTGTTGGTAATTAATTAAGCGAAGGGATATAACTGAAAGGATCTATGAATCTAAAATTTTAAGATTTTGAGCCACTTGATATGATGATGTAGTCTTAACCTATTGGTGATGGTCCATCCGTTATGAGCTCCTTCTGAACCCGTCTGACAATGGTAGAGTCGAGTTGAGCTCAAACTAATATGATATTTGGTTAGAGGTGAGTTGTGTATTTTGGGCTTGGGTACTCAGTTAAGAAGGAGCATATCAATATTGGGTCATGAGTCTTGCATTAATTGGTAATTGGTTAAGTCAAATGTATATAAGTGAAAGAATTTATAAACCTAATACTTAAGATTTTGAGTTGAGATATGATGTCGGACCCACTTATTACAATTGGAATAACTTAGCTTATTGATCCCCAAACTCCTTCGAACCCTCCGAAAAATTAGGCTTTGTTTGGGAGTTTAGAAAAAAAGGAAAGAAAGGGTATACAAGGGGAAGGGAAGGAAATCAAAGGGTATTCCCTTCCATAAGTTCCCTTGTTTGAGAGTTAAAAAAATGGTAAGAGATAAATTGAAAGGTTTATGAGATGTTTTTACAATTTTACACTTTTTTAAAAATTAACATTTTACAAATAAAATTAAATTTAAAAATTTTAAACAAAATTATTTATGTATTTTTCACACTACTAAAAAAAATCATATTTTTGACGGAGTTTCTACATTGCAAACGATGAAGATTCCATCAAAATAATATTTTTCCATCGGAATACTTTTCGTCGAAAGGCGACAAAATTTTTATCAGATGAAGTTTTTTACAAAACTAAATTTTTTGTCAAAATTTAGTTTCCATCCAAAGTTTTGACGAAAATGATTTCTTAAATATTTTTGAAAGAAAAAATTCCATCAAAAGTTTTGACCAAAAAAAGAATTATGTCAAAAATTTTGACAAGATATTTTTCATCCAAAATTTTCTATGAAAATGTGTGCCGATGAAAATTTTTGTCAAAATTTTTGAGGGAAATGCTTTTGACAAAACTTTCAACGGAATTTAGATTCCGTAAAGAATTTTGACGGAATATTTGTTCCGTTGAAATTTTTTACAGAAATATTTTCGTCAAAATTTTTTACGGAAATATTTTCCAATGAAAATTTTGATAGAAATTTTTTTCGTCAAAAAGTATGACGAAAATATTTCCATCAAAATTTTTTGACGGAATCTAAATTTTGTAAAGAATTTTGACAATTTTTTTCCATCAAAAGTTTTTACATAAATGTTTTTCGTCAAAACTTTTTACAAAAAAATTTCAATGAAAATGTGTTCCGTTGAAAATTTTGACGAAAATATTCTTTGTCAAAAATTTCGTTGAATATGTTCTTTTGTCAAATATTCTGAGCGAAATATTTTGACGGAATTTAGATTCCACAAAGAACTTTGATAAAATAAATTTTCCGTTAGAATTTTTTACAAAATGTTTTTCGTCACCAATTTTTATGGAAATAATTGTCGTCGAAAATCTTCGCTGAAAATTTTGATGAAAATGTTATCTGTAAAAAAATTTGACCAAAATGTTTCCGACAAAAAATTTTGACGGAATTGTTTTTTGTCGAAAATTTTCGATGAAAATGTGTTTCGTCGAAATTTTTGAAGGAAACATTTTTCCTTGAAAAGTTTAACGGGAATATTTTCGTTGAAAGTTTCGCCGGAATTTAGTTTCTATCAAGAATTTTGATTAAATTTTTTTTTTGAAATTTTTTTATGTCAGTAAATATGACTAAATCTTGTTCTGTCTCTAATTTCGTTTTTAGTTTTGATGAAAATATTTTTTTCGTCTCTATTTTCGACGTAATATGATTTTT